TATATTGTACTGTTATATTTGATTATATCATCATTAGTCAATTATATTTTTTTTTTTGGAAAAAATATTTAAATAAACCAAACTTAAAAATTGTTATAATTAAATTAAATTGAAAAAAAAACCGTTGAATTATAATTATTTTTCAACTTTTTTTTTTTTTTCACTGAAATATCAAATATATATATATATATATTATATCAAATGAAATAAAATCTTCAAAAATAAAAACTTTTTAAAAATTTAATAATACCAATGTTGGACTTTTTAATCATTTCTTGGTTTATTATAAATAATTATTTTATATTTGTTTTTTTTTTTTGATAGTAAATTTATTTGGTATTCATTCAATAATAAAAAATAATAATAATTAATTAATTAATGACACCTCATAAAAAAAAAAAAGACCATTTTATGATTCTCTCACTCACTCACTTTAAAAATAAAATAAAATAAAATAAAAAAAAATAAAAAATAAAAAATAAAAAATAAAAAAAATAAAAAAAAAATAAAAAACCCTTCATTCTTTTGTTTTGTTTTGTTTTGTTTTGTTTTGATTTGATTTGATTTTTTTTATTTTTTATTTTTTATTTTTTATTTTTTATTTTTTGATGCATCTCCATCAAGGTTTTTTTTTATTTATTTTTTTTTTTGCCCCTTGCTAACAATTATATACAGCAACAACAGCCGCTATGACGTACCTTTTTCCTAAAAAAACTCCACCTCAAAAAAAAAAAATTATTTTTTTTTTATGCAGTTGATAAAATTTTTTTTTTTTTTTTTCAATTCAAAAATTTAAAACTTTATGATATTCCGTTATCGACTTGCTTAAAAATAAATCAAAAAAATTATCAAAATTTTCAAAATTATCAAAATTTTCAAAATTATCAAAAATCAATAAAAATTATCAAAATTATCAAAATTAACAAAAATCAATAAAATTTAACAAAATTTAACAAAATTTAACAAAAATCAACAAAATTTGTGGATTCCTTTCTTTAATTACATTAATTTTTATTATAATGATAATATATCAAATGAATTGAATATTACAAATTTCTCTTTAAAATACTTTATTCTAATAAATTGAAATTTTTATAAAATATATTAGGGGGAAAAAAAAACATAAATAAATATATAAATACAATTGAATTTATGTCTTTATTATAATATTCTGTCTTATATATATACTCTTAAGATATTCACCAACATTCAATAAATCTATTAAATCTATTAAATCTATTAAATCTATTAATCAATCAATCACCATTCTATTTCGTGTAAAACCAAACAAACAACTACAAACAAAGGGAAACGCAATGTGAAGATGAGCTGTTGTTGCTGCTGAACTTTGAGAATGCATAGTAAAGAAAATCACCTTGTAGCTAAAAAATAAATAAATACGAACTGTGTAATCTTTTAAAACAAATATATATATATATATATAAAATAAAGAAATTAAAATCTAATATATTTTAATTAAAATGAATTATCTGATTTTTAATTATTTTTTTCTTCAACTAATTATTATTATTATTATTATTATTTATACATTAAATCAAGCTTATATATTTATTCTTAATTTTTTTTTTATTTCTGTCTCTAGTTCTATTGTTCCTGAGACCCTTTAAAAAAAAATTTTTTTTTGACATTTATCTAAATATAACTAAATGAATTGTTTGATTGTTTGATTGTTTGATTGTTTGATTGTTTGATTGTTTGATTGTTTGATTGTTTGTTGATCTATATTAAGATATATATTTTTATTTATTTATTTATTTATTTGAATGTTCTTTTCAATGTAAATTCTTTTTTTAGTTCTTTTTGAATTTTTTTTTTTTTTTAATTCTTATTTTTATTTTAAACTGCAACATTAAGATCCACTCAAAGTTATCATTTCAAAAAAAGAAAAAGAAAAAGAAAAACATCTTTATTAATAAATAAACCAGTATTAAAAAAAAATTTCAAATTTAAAAGACCTTTATATATAAATATAAATATATAAATGAAATAACTAGGCTAGTTATTATGAATTTTTTTTATAACTTAGTTAACTATATTTATAAATATAGTTTGTATAATACTTTAATTACAAATGATGACTAATTATATTATAATAAGTTGGTAATATAATTTCACGTGACCTTTGCCATATTACCAATAATTTTTTTTTTTTTTTTTTACCACACTTTTTTGTAATAATTTTTTTTTTTTTATTTCTCCATGATCTTCTATTTATCTAATCATCGGTTTATATTCATACAAAAAAAAAAAAAAAAAAAAAAAAAAAATTTCCTTTTTCCTCTCCATACCATATATATATATATATATAAACAAATAAAACAAATCAACTTTTCTTATTCAAAATGTCTTCTCCTAATGGTATAGTCTTATTAGACTTAGATACAGACGATGATGACGACGAAATTGAAATTACAAACGTCGCCTCCACAACTCCAACAGCCTCTGACACTTTTGGCCTTGCATCATCCTCTTCTTCAACTAGATCATCCCAAGATGACGACATTGCAATCACAAATGTCCGTCAAAACAATTCCCCAGAATTTATTTCTTCTCATAATAATAATAATGATAATAGTAATGATGATGATGATGACGATGAAATTACAGTCACATCAACTGTTGTTCGACCTTCTCCACCTGCATTTTTCAGGAATTCCACTCCATCCTCAAGACACTTTCATAACCATCACAACAACAACAACTTTAATTCTAATTCTAATAATACCAATAACAATAACAATAACCAAAGGGTTCTCATATACCCCAATTTAAATTTCACAATAACTGGAGCTGGAACTTATGCTCTGCATCTCCCAGATGGCAACACTATCCAAGTGGCTACTCGAAGGTTTAGAGATGCAGCAAATGCTAATAACAATAATGATACCACAACAACAACAACAACAAGCACCACTACCACAACCACAGCTAACAATAACCAATGGACTGCTCGAGGTAGAATGCCTCCAGTTACCTTTTCAGACCCATCATCCAGACGACAATCAATGTCCCCCCATATCGTCACACAACTTATTGATGACCGCCGTATCTTTATCGAACAGCAACAATTACGCTTGGCCCAATTACTGTCCTCTGAACTTTACTCTCAACAAGCAAACGCAAATGCACCCACTCTGGCAACGGTCAAGAAAATGCCGCCGCCACCACCAACGCGAGACGGGTTCTCGCATGGCCTTAAAAAAACAAACAAGTACGCCTGTGCGCTGTGCGGGACACGGCTGGCTATTGGGTTCCCCAAAGAGGGTCATGAAAAACAAGGTGAAGAATCAAGATACCGCGGAATCAATGACACCCATAGAAGTCTTTCCAAAAGAATCTTTTTCTCAACATGTGGCCACATCTTTTGTGGTTGGTGTGTATCACGTATTGTCAACCGTAAAACTTTACCGGAAGAAGTCAGAAAACAAAACTATGGTGCTAAACGTCAAAAGGGGAACAAAAAGGGTAAGGACCTAAACCCGGAACCCGACCCACCAAAAAATCAAATACCTCTAATGCAAATGTATATTCCGCCATCATGTAACGTCGAAGGATGTCAAAGACAGTTTCGCAACAAGTCCTTTAAAGAGATTTTTCTTTAATTATTATTGTATTATTTCTTCTTTTCCTTTTTTTTTTTTATAGACGTGTGTGTATATATAATAATAAATATCTTTATATATTAGACTTTATGAAAAAAATTGTTTACTTGAGGGCCGCACAGCAGGTGAATACTCAAGCCCTGCCCGGATCCGCTGTGCAATTGTTTTGGGTGCTCTTGGTACAAACGTGCTAAAAGGTTTAGGAACTGGCAACCGTGAAAAGTCCATGTGCATAAGACTATCAATTGTCTGGCCCTCGGGCCATGAGTCAGCCGTAGGTGCGCCCAAAGTCTCGAAAATACAAGCAATCAAAGCCAAATCAGACCGGTACTCTCCACCACCACCACCACCACTACCACCATCAGACTCTTCACGATTTGCAAACAATGGCAAACCATCTATAGAATACAACTGCGCTCCAACACATGCAGCAGCCCACACGTCCACATCAAATCCATAAGATGCTTGGCCAAATAAAAGCTGTGGAGAACGAAACACTCCAGTCCCAACATCTGTCACCTTATTCTGAGCAGGCTCTTTCCCGTGATTATCCGGAGGGGTCCAGGCAATTCCAAAATCAGCAATTACCACACGCGGCCATTCACTGCTGCTATTACTACTATCAACACCACCACCACCACTAGCATTTCTGTCTGTTGCTATAAACAACAAGTTATCCGGTTTAATGTCCCGGTGAATGATGCCCTGTGAATGAATATACGCCAGCCCAGAAAAAAGACCTTGCAAAATGTCTAACGCAAAATCCCCAGGTAACCGGTTCTTCCATCCGCTTACTAACGAAGCCGACGAAGATGAAGAAGACGACTCAGACCCCCACAATCCTACAACGGGTTTCCGATGTGCCGCCAAAACGGCTCCTAGTGTGTACTCCAAAAGCGGCAAAACCTGTATTAATATAGGTTCTCCGTCCTCATCATGGTCAGAAAACCCGTCTTGAACAGTAATGACGTTTGATGAATTGGGTGTCGCAAGGTTCCGTAGCAGCTTTAGCTCTGCACGGGAATTGTGTGGAGCGCGTTCGTCATCAGGATACGTGACCTTGAGTGCAACAGCTCGAGATCCATCAATAGGATCAGCACGGTAAATCCGGGAAAATCTGCCACGGGCGATAAACTGCTTGTTATTTTTGAATTTGTTCATGAAATGGCAGAGAAAATGGTAGAGAGAAAGTTGAAAAAAAAAAAAAAAAAAAAAAAAAAAAATTAAATGTTACTGTATGGTAAATAAATAAAGAAAATTAAGTTACCGCACTTACTTGAAGTAACTATTTTTTCAACTTACCCACTTGTTTATCGATAATCCAAGCGTCACCCCTAACCCATTAACAGATAAGATACGTCGCAAAACCCTCAAATTACCACTTTGCACACACAAACACTCAAAAAAAAAAAAAAAAAAAAAACCCTCCACGTTTATTTAAGTCCTTAAAAATAAAAAAAAATAAAAAAAAACCAACAAATTCTCTGCGCAACTTCTCTTCCCACATCATCACCATCTTCTTTTTAACGCCACGCCAACTATGACACATCCTTTTGGCGAGTGGGTCGAGACAGGGCACCAGGATGTCGGTCCCCTTTTTTACAACGACGGGCCACTAACCCCGGATAAGCGCGTGCTCAAACTCCGCACGCTAGCAGATGCGGCCGCAACCCAGGACAGTGCTTGCGCACGAATGCTTGCAATGTCGCGCGAGGGTCTTGTTTCTGATCAGTTCCGAAAACAACTATGGCCACTACTTTTAGATGCTCCGGAAACACCACTCCGTGAGACACCCATGGCTGATCTTCCACCTCACCGTGAAGAAGGTCAAGTCTTGCTTGACTGCAACCGGTCCTTTGTTTATTTCCCACCAAACCTCGATGACCAATCCCGCGAAATATATCAAAAACAACTTTACGACCTTATCGTCACCGTCCTCAGAAGAAACCCAGTTCTCGCTTACTACCAAGGCTTTCATGATGTGGCACAGATCTTTCTTCTTGTCTTTGGCCCCACCGATGCGATCCCAATCTTTGAATATGTTGCGCTTTACTTTCTGCGCGACTTTATGATGCCCGAAATGGAGGCTTCTTTGTTACACATGGAACTAGTTGCGGCTATAATCCAAGCTGTCGACCCAGATTTGGCTCAAATCGTCCCCAGTGACATCCTTAACATTGCCATCTCCTCAATGCTCACCATCTTCTCCCATGACTTACACGCTTACAATGACATTTGCATTCTCTTTGACTTTGTCTTTGCTTACCGTACCATGGCAATTCCTCCCTATATTTACGCAGCCATTTTACTTTTACGCAAAGACAAGTTTTTCAATTCCCAAGACATTGATTCCTCAGAAGTCATCTCCGTCCTCAACAATGTTTTAAAAACTTTCCCGGAAACTGATTCCGCCATTTTCGAAGTCACCAGCTACGCTGAAACACTCTTTCAAAATTACCCTCCACAATCCCTGAAACTATGGGAAAAACTTAGCCAGTATTCTGTCCTCAAAACTACAGCTGCACCAAATACCCAAGAAATCGTTCTAGAAGATAACAAAGATCTAGATCACGATACTGATGATGATAACGATAATGGTGATGGTGATGGTGATGGAGAAATTGGAAACAGACGATGGACTCAAAATAGTTTCTTCCCTTTAGTTGGCAACCGCGAAACAACAAGCGAAAATCAAGTCAATGGCGGAGAATCTCCAGCATCTGCTGGCGGGTCCCAACACTCAGATGCTACATCAATGTTTGACGGTACACCTAGAATCCCATCCGTCATTGATTCCTTTTCAGCTGAATCTCTGCATGACTTGCCACTACCACTGGCTCACCCAATTTACTCTCTAGAGGAAGTCGAGGAAATTGCTAGACAACAAGTAGCCGAGGACCTGGCACTTAAAGCGGAGCGTGATCGTATTGCAAAGGAAAGACGGGAAAAAATGCGTGCGAAGAAATCTGCTGCTGCTGCTGCTGGCGGTGCAGGCTCTTCTTCCTCATCTGGTAGTGGTGCTGGTGGTGCTGGTTCAATGCCCTGGAGGAAACCTCACCACAGAATCCCAATATGGACAGAAACAACAACCCTTGTTGCACGGCTTTTTGCAAACCGTCCTCGTACTATTATCAACCCGCGGACCGTTGCAACCATGCTTGTTCCACGTACCGTACTTTCAGCGTCGCTCTACGGTGGAGTCTTCTCGTTACTTTTGGCATGGTACATTCATAAACACCCGCAAGCCCTGCCGCGCTCGTTTGACACGTTGCGCGAGTATTGGCGATATATTTGGAGTACTCTTGTTGCGCGGTATTTCTAGACGAGGCGTTTTTTTGTGATGATTTATTTATTTATTTTGTGGTAAAAAGAAGGGGGAAAAAAAAAAAGATTGTTTAGGTTTTTTTTCATTTCCTTTTTTGGAACTTTTTTTGGTGTAATGAATTTTTTTTTTTTATATTTAACGATCAATGATAATGTGATGATTAAAAAAAACACATAAAAAGCTTTTTTTTTCTTGATTAATTCTATTTCTTCTTCTTCTCCTTCTTCTTCTTCTTCTCCTTCTTCTTCTTCTTCTTCTTTTCATCATCTTTACCATATCTGCTTTAAATCAATTGCTTCCATTAACTTTTGCTTTAATTTATTTTTGCTTTCATTTCTATCACTATGCAACATCACCCTGTTGATCCAAACAATACTTTTGGCCAACCCTCTGCACCGCCGTTTTCTCAGAATGACCCTCCAGGAACTTCACACCCAGGCAGATCTTCGCTAGAGTCTGCCTCGAACTACGCCAACGGCCGCAAATCTCTTGACTCGTCTACTGAAGAAGCTACAGCCCGTGAGGAGCAGCAGCGTCTTTGTGAACAAATGCAATCAGGTCACTCTATCTATTCAATCATTGATTCATCAATGCGTCAAGCTGAAAAGAATGAAAACAGCGAGTATATTGAACCACAGCGTCTTAACCGGTTTGAACGAAGGTGCGAGTTTCACCAGCAGTTTTCGCCTTGTAGATGTAGCATGGGCGACCGGCGACAGTGTGTGACTAAACAAGAAGAAGAAGAAAAAAAAGAACGGGAGGTGGGGGGCAAAGAAGGAAAAGAGATGGAAATGAAAGAGAAGAGGGAGAATGGAAACGAAGAAAAACGGAATGAGGATAATGGTTGGGAAAATGTGACAAGTGAAAGAAAAAGTCAAGGTCAAGGTCAAGAGGTGGGAAGTGGAGCCCGGTGCAGATGCTGTCCAGTATGCAAAGGTCAAAAGAAGACTGAAGAGTGGATCATTGTTCAACGTCCTAATGGGGAGACAAGTAAAGGAGAAAAAAGGACTGGTGAAGACGGAAACTTGGATTTGAACCAAAGTTCAAATAAGGAAGAAAATATGAATGCTAAAGACGAGCAAGGCACTACCGGAAGTTTACAAGAGCCTGAGCAGTCGGGTTTTCATCAAGAACGAGCGTTTGATCCTGGTCAAGAAGCTTCAAGTAACAATGTGGTGGAAAAAACAACTATAACAAATGAGCAACCCCTTCAATACAATCGTGAAGCTAATATCCAAGAAGATGTTCAAGAAGATGTTCAAGAGGAAGTTCAAGAGGAAGTTCAAGAGGAAGTTCAAGAAGATAACAGAATTGAATATTCAGGTGATTTTGGTCCCGAACCTGATCCAAGTCGAGACAAGAAAGACGAGGGGACTGGTAATAATATTTTTTTTTCTAATTTCTCTGATGACCACACCATGCCTTATGAATCAGGACCAAAACACATGGAAAAATATTTTAAGTGGGCAAGAAAGTTATGCACAATCCCACCCCCTCCTTGCAACATTTATAATCCGTCTCCGCCATTTTCCTTAGGAGTAAACACAGTAATTGAATATGGAATTTTTCTTTTCCCTGTCATTAACCGAGCTTTTGGTGAACGTTTTGGTGTTGAAGGATGGACTGCACGTCTTAGTCTGTATAGAGAAGTGGGAGGGGTTGTACCTCCACGTGAAATAATTGAAACAGAAACTCCGAGGTTTTTGTTGAGAAACCGTCGCAACATTCAACTGGAATTAAGATGGCATATTAACCAAGCAATTCTACACCAACAAAATCGGCTTTACCCTAAAGACAATATTGATGAGGCTTTGGAAAATGGGACTTGGGCAAATTATATGGACAGTGACCCAGAGGAAGAAGAAGGAGCCAGAGTTGAGAAAAGAAAACAAATGCAAGAGCTTTTAAATTGGCGGCGCAAACTGAAAAAATCTCGAAAGGAAATACTTGTCAACATAGTCACAAGAAAAGCTTCTGAATTCATTTTGAATCTTATATCTGAGCTCCGGTTAAACAAGGCTCTTCAAAAGCTTTCTGGGGAAAACAGAACAGTGTTTCTCGAATGGATTTCATTTATTGAAAAATACGGACAGTCATCTTTTGAGGAAGTTTACAGTTTATACGTTGGTATAAAACTTGCACTACAACCGTTAGATATTACTGGCATCAACTTTCGAGAAAAAATGATTGATTTGATTTTGGAAGAATTGGAGGAGCTTGAGACTGGCGGCCGAGGAGAGTTGTTGGATGTTACACGGATATGGAGAGCCAGGAAAATATTGCATGACCAACGACCATATTGGTTAAAAGATGGTATTGATGGGACTTTTTCAAAAGGCCGAAACTTGCTCGAGAAAGAGCCACTGTTCCCACAAAATGTTAAGCCACGCATGCACACAAATGGCGACCTAGAACAACAAGGCGTGGACTATTTGTCGTTGCTTGCTGCCAGCTTTGGTCACTCACTAATGCACTGGTCAATCTCTGTGGCTTTGTTTATTCAACAATGGAGAAGAAAACAAGGCAAGCCACCAGTCTGGGAAGGTCCTCTAAGCACTCGGCCATGGTATGAGACTTTGGTGTATCAAGTTTTACAATTTGCTGTACCGAAGGCTCCTATACTAAGGTTTCAAAACGGTACTTCATCAAAAAGAGTGCCCATTAAAAAGGTAACTGATATGTTCAATAAGTCGGTTCGAGAAACACGAAACAGAATTCTTCAAAAGTTGGAAAAAAGACGTACATGGGAGCCGCCTTATGATAAAAGTCAAAGGGACGACGTTGTATTTTCCAAAGACAGGGAAAATAATTCTTCTATGAAAGTTTTGCCTCCAAATCTTAGTAATATGTTTTCAGCAGAATATATGGATACTCAAGTCGAGTTAACTTGGAACCAGGCGCTGTTTTTTACTCGTGTGAGAGAAAGACGAAAAGAACTCTGGAAACTAGCAATCAGATCACACGCTATGGAGCTTCAAAGTGTTCTTGATCGTAGTGATGCCTGGGGCGGCCCCCATTTTGATATGGTTATTCCCAATGTTGTTGAAGAAACGGGCTCAGGTACTCTTGCATCAGATGCATATAATGATAATAAAGATATGATGCTTAATTTCATGGGTGGCTGTTTGATTAATGGGATTTCGCAAAATTCCCCGCTGTGGCCTTTGGCTCGAACACACGTGATGCAGTGGCTTTACGCTGAAAGGACCCCTGGAAAGAAAAACTTGCCTAAAAATAGTCGAGTAGCTGCCATGTTATCGTTTTTAATGAAGGATGCTCAATTTGAACCTGGGAGAGATGGGAATCCGGTTGTTGTGTTTATGGTGGGAGTTAACAATAGCATCAAGTCTGCTTCTATGTCGGATAAAAAAAGTGAGAATATTGAAGAGAAAAAGGAACAAGAAAATTACGAAGACCGCAAAGAACAAGGAGAGCAAAAACATGAAGAAAAAGAGGAACAAGGAAACGCATTTTCAAATACCCAAAGTTTGCCGCCTCATTGGACTGTGGGAGCAATTGCCAGAGTAAAAGAGCATTACAGGATCAATGTGGAAGGCATGAGTGTAAGCAAGCGCCCAATGTTTACTGAAAGTATGGTAGATTGGATAGACTCAGTGCCTTACCCTGAACGGGCCTTGAATCTAAAAGGTACTTTTGAAGGTTTGGACTTTGAGTTGCTGAGTGTTCGGGATTCTGATTTGGAAAGCGAGACTGAGAGTAGTTCTAAGGGAAAAAAAGATGGAAATGACGACGACGACGACGATGATGATGATGATGATGATAATAATGATAATGATTTCGAGAGTATTTTACAAGATCCTGAAAAAGGAAATTAAGAATTGTAATTGAAAAAAAAAAAAAAATAAATAAATAAATAAAAAAATCAAAAATAATTTAAGATTAATGTCAAATATTTAAAATAAAAAAATATTGTAGGTTTTCTTAGCGACACTTGGTTTCGATCCAAGGACATCAGGGTTATGAGCCCTGCGCGCTTCCTCTGCGCCATGTCGCTATCTAATGAAAAATCAAATTTTATTTTTGTTAAAAACGTTTTATTCAAAATTCATATAAGTATATATCATTAAGATTTACGTTGTTTTTAAATAAAAACAATTAAACAATTTAAATTCGATATATTTCCAGTATCCTCCATATCTGGGGGAAGTTTATAGGAGTGTAAACCTCACTGGAACCCCTTAACAATCAAGGATTATTTTGATAACTCTAATTTATATACAAGTAACTCCTAGTAATATCTCTGTTAAAAAATAATTAAGTACTACGCAAGGATTTGTGAACAGAATTGGAATTAGATTGGATAGGTTTTGGAACCAACAAAACTGGTTCTCCTTGTGCTTTTTTCGGGTCACTAGAAGTGCACAGACTGAAACCACTTGTATTAAAAAGGTTCACCCCCACAAGTTGGGAAATCACAAAAGTTGAGCAATCAAAGGAGTATTGTTGATAGTAACGATATAATTCGCTAACTCTTTAATAAAATCAAGCTGACAAGAAAAAACAATTGGTTGATAATTGTTTACTAGCTTTTTGAGCCGCATTAACAGAAATGACAAAATTGAGCTACAATTGCCGTACCAAGTGGTACACTTAAAATTTTTTGAAATTTTGAAATTTGTAGAAAAAGTATCTCACAAATTTTTAAAAATAAAAAACAATATTTTGATAAAAAAATTAAAGAATATAAAATTTTAAAATTTTAAATCACTTATTTTAATGACTGATTGTATTAAAATGTTTGTTTGTTTGTTTGTTTTTATTCAAGGGTTATAGAATTATATAACATCAGCATCTGCGCTATCCTTTTATTGTCTGACTATGTGACTTGCCGGTTTTCATTTGTACCTTTTTAGTACGGGTGGTTTCTGTTCTGTGCGTCTCCGGTAGCCCGGAAGATGGGCCCTGATGCCAGCTTACGAGGAACAGGGAGAACCAGTCTGTCGGTCCCAAAACCTTCCCAACCCATTTCCACTTATCTTCACGGACGCCCATGTATTTCTTAATCTCTTCCGTCAGAGATACGGCCCGCAATCACCTGCAGGCTATTTAGACTGTACGGAAGAGTCGGCATTCCGGTAACCAGGGTAGCCTATGGTTTTTCAGTCTAGGTGTATACTCCCGTACACATCCTCAGGAAAAGGGGGTATTCTGGGAATCGAACCCAGTATCTTCCGCTATCGAGCGAACGTGTTACCCTTTACACCATCCAGCCCTTTCCCAATTATCTGAGCGTAATGAGGACGTGACCTATAGAAATGATCCTATAGAGTACGTCGACATAATAAAAGGATAGCGCAGATGCTGATGTTATATAGTTCTATAACCCTTGAATAAAAACAAACAAACAAACAATATTATAGATAATTAATCGGCAATAGTTTAGTGGCTAGAATTTCCGCCTGTCAGCTTTTAAAGCAGCACGCGGGGGACCGGGGTTCAATTCCCCGTTGCCGAGCTTTTTTTAATTGATATTGAAACGTTCGTTATATTTGGTTTCGTGTAGTATTTGACTATGGATGTAAAGTACGGGTCTTATTTGTTTCAACAAAGTGTATGGTTGATTGTGATGTCTACAACTAAAATTTTTGCATTAAACCAAAATCGTTTTTTTTTCCATAGTTAAAATGCTTATGTAATTTTGATCTAAAGTACACACAAAAAAAAAAAAATTTCAAACGTTAATGCAAAACTACCACAGACACAAATACTTCTTTTTTTCTCCCTCAATCATCACTTTTTTAAACTAAAATACAAAAAAATCATTTATCAAGAAGTAAAACGTGCGTCAGACCGGAGTCGAAACGGGGGCTCGTCGATGGCAACGACGAATTTTACCGCTAAACCACTAACGCCTCTCTTTATTGTTTTGATTTATAAATTAGAAAAGCCCCAAATCCATAACTTACCTGTTTTACAGACATGGTACTATTGATTTAGAATACCCCCTTTTCCTGAGGATGTGTATGGGAGTATACACCTAGACTGAAAAACCATAGGCTACCCTGGTTACAGGAATGCCGACTCTTCCGTACAGTCTAAATAGCCTGCAGGTGATTGCGGGCCGTATCTCTGACGGAAGAGATTAAGAAATACATGGGCGTCCGTGAAGATAAGTGGAAATGGGTTGGGAAGGTTTTGGGACCGACAGACTGGTTCTCCCTGTTCCTCGTAAGCTGGCATCAGGGCCCATCTTCCGGGCTACTGGAGACGCACAGAACAGAACCCACCTGTACTAAAAAGGTACAAATGAAAACCGGCAAGTCACATAGTCAGACAATAAAAGGATAGCGCAGATGCTGATGTTGTATAGTTCTATAACCCTTGAATAAAAACAAACAAACAAACAAACAATACTATTGATTTAATTATACTTAACTAGTTCATTTTAAATAAAATTTAATATCATATAATAATAAATTTAAAAAAAAAACAACTTCAAAGAACTTAGGTTTGGTAATAACTCCTGAAAATGGCCAAAATTGGTCTTTTTTTTTTCAAAATGTTTACAAGTTTTAAGAATATGTATAACTAAGCAAATTTATAATACAAAAGAAATAGAACTGAAATAGTTAATTTTTTAAATGCTATTATAATATAAAAATATAATAGCATTTTAAAACATTTACTGCAACAACGAACGAACCACCTTCCGATAACGACAAAAAACATTCGGTTTTTAATAATCCTTGAATTTATCCCAAAGGTGGGTTTTTATTAAATTGATTTAGTTAGTGATAGAAAAGTTATATTCCAAGTCAAACTTAAAATCATTTATTATCAAAATATAAGAATTTATTTAATTTAACATTATTGAACTTTAGAAAACTCACTTTTTTTCTTTCTTAAGAGTGCTTTGTGATGCAGCCGTTTGTTAATCCTAATACGGTTATTTCAGGTGTTTAACTGATTTAAAGTTTAAAAAGAAATTTTTTACTGCACATTGAGGCATAATTCATTTGGACCAAAACTTACCATTCTGATATCACCAAAAAAAAAAAGATGAATGGCAACGCCCTTAAAAACAAAAAGTTAATCTCCCGAGCGTGAGTCGAACACGCGGCCTCAGGATTACAATGAGCCATTACAGTCCCGCGCTCTACCAACTGAGCTATCGAGAGAAGTTATTCTTGTTTAGAATACAAATATGAACCTAAATATACTGTGCGTAACTAAAAGCATTTATTTTGGTTTTGTTTATTTTTTTTAAAAATAACCACAGACTTAATTTGAACAAAAGAATAAAAGTTTAATTGACTTAAAAAGAGAATAGGGCTGTTTCCCACTGCTTCCCATTACTAGAATGAGTCTACTAGAGTACACATCTTTACTAAACCCCAGGGCTACAGGAAGTTCAACACTTTCATTGAGTCTAATTAGCCTATGAATGATGGAGAACAGTATATCTGGTGGAAGAAATTGAAAAAACACACATACCTGTTTGTGAAAACAAGTAGAAAATGGTAAGTTAGAAACCGAAAAACTAGTTCCCCTCATTTCTCTAAAGTTGACACCACGACAATTCTTCCCGGCTATATAAGCCGTATAAATCAAAATTACCCATAAGACAGCAAGTCCCTAAATTTTAGTAATAAAAAAAATAAAATCGATGCCCTTGTTATGCATTTCTATAATCTTTGAATAATTACAAACAAATTTGAATTTTTTTTACCTAACCTATTTTTTATTTACTTTTCTGTTTTCTGTTTTTTAAAAGCTGATTGCTCCAAGTCACTAGTAGTTTCTCTGTCCTCAGGTTCCTTTCGCAGTTGACCTTGCTTCTTTCCACTATATTCTGATGGCTGCTGCAGAATTGAATCATTTTCAATGGGCATCAAAGTTTCATTTCGATTTTCTTCAAGCCCGGGTTGTTCACCATCTTTAATAGTCGTCGGACTTACGGTGCGGCTCTCTTCAGGAAAAGATGACTGCAGTGTTATCGGCTGTGCAACTGGTCGCGAAATATGCCGTGATCGATCACCAATAACTCCAAAATTTGGTACTGGGGGTGCTGGTCTTTGAGTTGAAGATAAGGGGATTCCTTCACTAATACGATGGATTGCACCAGGAACATATTCTTGATTCACATTAGAAATCAAGTCTGTAGTGAGACTGGAAGAAGCTTCAGGTGACAAACCTGTAGACAAGCTTCTCGTCATTACAGGCGTCAATCCAGGCGTCATTGTTTGCAATAATCCAGGAGGCAACCCATGTCCTGAACTTGATTCTTCATTCGGTACCACACTAAGAACGGCATTTCTTTGGTTGGTTCTGAGTTGACTAGATGCTGGTTGATTCAAATTAGTTTCTTGGGTAGTTTCTGAAGATATTATAGGTAGTACGCCAGATGAAGTTTCTGGGGACAGGGCTGGTAATTCAGGAATAGTGGGTAAAATAGGTTCTGATATGTTTTCGGCAAGTCGATCTCTGTTTGGCACAAAACTTGATGGTGGCGTTCCTTGAGATGCAGTTTGTGCAAAACCAGGTGCCGTGCTTGGTTGCAAACTTGGTGGGGGTATTCCTCGAACCATTCCATGTGATGGTAGCCGTGTAAAACCAGGCGCCGTGGTCTGGAGCGAACCAGGCGGTGGCATTCCCTGGATTATACCCCGAGATATTGCTTGTGCAAGCCATGTTGATGTAATTTCCGTCAAATTGGGTTGAGTAGCAACTTGAGGTATTTCTTCCTCTATAGCTGCTGTTTCATCTGGAGATACTAAATACTCAGTCCCTCTCGTCATATCATGTGAATCATCAACGCTTTCAAGGGCACCAGGTGCACTTCCCAATGGTCGGTGAGGCGTCGCTGTATTGTCTCTACTACCTTGGCTCATTGGTCTAGATGTTCCACCCGCCGAGGCTGCTCTGACCAGCTCTTCCACTCGTTCTGGTGGTGCAGGTGTCAAGGCCAGCCTCACATTTGGTGGAACGGTATAAATAGGTCGGCCCACTTGTTCCTCTGCCATTCGATAGGGAATCATATTCACTGAAATATACCCCGCCGCTGGTTGCATTGTTGTCCCTGTTCCTGGCCGGCTCACAACACCATGTGAATCCACAACTGTAGGCTGAAGCAGTCCAACCTCAATCATTTCAGCTACAGTGCCAGTCCGTGTGTTATGGGCATTTCGGTACCGTTCCTCCATAGTCTGTGTGTGTGCAGCTATAATGGCATCCAGAACCCGATCCCTGTCTTCACGTGCTTGCACAAACACCTGTGCATTTCTAACTGCGGCTTCAAACTGTTCCTTAAACCTTTTTGAGTGCCTGATTCGCATCTCATTCCTATGTTTTTCTTCATCCTCTTTTTCTCTGGCCTCCTGTTCTTCCTTTCTCTTTGCCCGAATCTTCTCCAGTTTGCGCTCCTCTTCCTTTAACCGTTTATCGTCAAGCATGCGCATTCGGTCAATTTCTGCCTGAGGCACTCCACTGCGTATAAGTTCTTTGACTTCTTCCTCACGTTTCAACCAAGCCTCCCTCTTAATTTCTTCCTCCCTCCGCTCCTCCTCCACCTGTTTGCGAATCTTTCGGTGCTGTATTGAACATTTGAGATTTAACACCTTTTCCTTGAGTCGTGTTTCTGCATCTTCCAGTCGATCCATACGGGCTTCCGCCATATCAAGTTGTAAATTATCTTCATAAGAAATGATTTTTTTTTTACGCAATTCTAAAGATGTTTTCATTTGTCTACTCAAATCACAAATGGCAATTCTCATTTCTCGAACATGATCTTGCATCTTTCGTAGCCCAGCCTCGTCAGCACGAAGTCCCTCAGCGGTTTCGCGCAGCGTCATGCCTCCAAACTCATTAGCAAGCTCCTCAAGCCGTTCATATTCTCCATTTGGATCGTCATCGATATCAGTGACTTTGTGGACTGACGGGTCTGAGGTCTCGTCATCATCATCATCATCATCATCATCATTAACATTAACATTAACATTAACATTAACATTAACATTAACATTAAAATTAACATTAACATCAAAATCAACATCAACTTCATCATCAAAATCATCATCTGTCCATTCGTCTTCTTCTGAATCACTGGAGTCCATTTTAAGGGGTATAAATAAAGAAGGGTGAAAGGTTGACCAGAAGAAAAAAAAATTAAGGAGGGATTAAGTGTTTTATACAACCACAAAACCGAGTAATTGTTGCACTCATTACACTAGATTGCCTTATTAGGAAATAAATCAAATTGTCTATAAATCGTAAAATCGTGAAAAAAAATTAAAAGTGAACAATTATAAAAAATACAATAAAAAACCAAAAACGTCATTTCTTTTCTATCAAAACACCGCTAAGCTAGGATTATCAGCTTTGGGAGTTTTCTTCATCTTTCGTAATTACCGTACGAACCATTGTGCTCTGCAGCTTGCTCCTGCTCAACTGCAAACACTTGCTCCATCCACGGCTTAACTGTAAAGTGGCGTCGTTGTTTGCGCAGCTCTCTCAGTTTTTGTCTCTTGTCCTCATCCACAGCAATGTTTTCCTTGTAGTTTGCAATGACTCTGCGTAGCTCTGCAACCCAGCGAGCCTTGGCAGAGACCGACTCGGCATAGAAATCAATAATCTCGCCGTTACTAAACTTAAGTCGGAATCCTTCTGCAACGTGTGCAGAGCCCTGGTCGTGGTCTGCAAATGCAGATCGCCGGTGGTGTGTGCGCCCGCTGTGAGCGGAAACAATTGTCATAGGCTCCACCAATGTCTCCTGGTCATCAATTACCTTGACCGCCTTCTTAAGGTTGATGGCCGCACGAGGCTTGTGCGAACTCTCACTGAATGCCGTTAACGTTGTTGGATTCAGCTTAAAGTACCGGCACCGCCAGTGCTTACAGTCTCCTCCAAGCTGCGACAAGTTACTCTTGACGATTGTTCCAGAAACCCGCTTGGCTTCATCCTCTAGTCTCTTTTCCTCGCGTTCATACTCGGCCTTGAGACGGATCTGAGTTCGTACAAAGTCAAGTTCGGCAGCAGCCGACTTGATGGAGCTCGGCAAAGGCTCGCCCTTGGTACCACGCGGAATAAAAAGCATTTGGCATTCGAGCATAGCAATAGGATATGGCGTCTTGCGACGCGACAAAGAGTAGCTTGTCTGCTGCGACGACCCAGACACAGAGCGTAGTGGTTCTGGAGCAGGCCCGCCGACTCCTGAGTAAGTGGGGATAATTGTCCACTCATTGTAACAAGGAATTTCGTAGGTGCGTGGGGTACCATACACATCAGGTTCAAACTGGGCAAAAGAAACATATGCGCGACCAAATGACCCGTCTTGGGCCATATAATTAGACCATGAGTCGCCAGCAGCACGCGAGTACTGTGAGCCGTAAGAGCGCAACGATGACGTCCCGGACGCAATCGTCGACATGGACGTTTTGTTCTGCAAAATAGTTTTGGGATACTGTGGGATCCGTTGCTTTTCTTCCTTGGTACGACTAAAAATCTTAGATAGCCCAAGACGCTTTCCAGAGGCGGCAGGAGTGGCTGAAGAACCCCCAGAAGACATGGCCGTATTGTTAGCCAAGTGCGACGTGTACTTCAGGTTTTGTTGCGGTTGCAGATGGTGTTCCTCAACCTTGGGCCATTTGGCCTTGAGAGTCAAGATAAACTCGAGGTTGCCGCCAACAACCAGTTCAAACTCCTGGTTTATTGGTGTTGCTTTTTGGTGGAGCGGCTTATATGGTGTTATGACTGAATGTAACCCATTGTCAAGAACCATTCCCACTTTTGCATTCTTCGACTCAATGTCAGGAAGACCCTCAATGTTCTTGATACCCAAGATGCGAATAAACAACCGACCATTGTCATCGCCAAAGGCTTGCGATGTTTTGCGATACTGCCCAGAAGTTTCGGGAGTCGGTAGCGGACGGCCATTGGGAGTGTGAGTTTTAGCTGTCGCAACAGCAGCAGCAGCAGAAGCATCTGAAACATACTGATATTTAGACCGTTGGGGTTGTGAGTTGTGTATATTAGAAGTGGGTGTGGTAAGGGTGACAGAAGGAGGTGAGCTAACAGTTAGACGAGATGAGACATAGTTTAGAACTTGGCCGCTGACCTTGCGCCTTGAATCAGGGTGAGCTGCCCCTGAAGAGGGCGATGCGGAAGCACCGACAGGAGTAACAGCAACAGAATGAGACTTTGGCTGAGCAGAAGCCACCACCAAATTATTATTTTCACGGACGTGGTACCCGTGACGTTTATCCTTTTGCATTTCTGGCTTTGGTGAATCCTGTAAAAAAAAGTTAGTAAATCAAAGTTCAACAAAATAAAATAATACGTACATCTTCACTTTGAAGCATCTTGTCAAACTCTTTGTTAAGGTCATTGAAAATAGACTCTGAATCGAAAGCAACATCATCAATGTCAAACAACAACAACGGCGGCGCAAGCTCATCTTGTTTCTTGGAAACAACTGGTGGTGCAAGCCCCAAAGATTCATTGTGGCTCGCACTTGAAAACGATCTTCCACCAGCTGTTGACACGCCTGTAGACGTTCCGGCCGTGGCACCGGCTGCACTCGATGGATGTAAGGTTACCGACGTGCCAAGTATAGGTGGGTATCTGTTGCCAGAGAAAGATATTGCAGAGTGCGCTGACTGCCCGGAGAATGCACGTGCACGCGGGGTATATGGCGAAGAAATAGCTGCCGCGGTGGCAGCAGCAGCAGCCAGTGGGTAGTTGCTTGGATCAGTAAGCGAAGATTCTTGGAAATAAGAAGGGAAAGGCTCTTCGTTTGCAAATGGCATTGATGCTTTTCGGCCATGAGAAAGCACTGAAGCTTTGGACGACTCGCGCAGCATCTTGCTAGAAAATGAAAATCGAGCAACGTCATCGGGTGCCAAACTGCGACGTACCTTGAGACTGGTATCAGCGGCAACAATCGAAGGCTCACCTTGAATCTCTTCCTCTTCCTCTTCTTCATCCTCATCCTCAGAAAACCCATCGTCCTCATTGCTGGCATGTGCATCGGGTAGCATAGCATCGTATGCGTCTGCATCCTTGTAACCCAGCTCGCCGACTGACGATTGCTGAGACGAGCGCTTGTAAATATTGAGAGGTTGCGTATCGTAAGAGTTATCCGAGTGTGCAGACTCGGCCACGGAGTATTTTCGATCGTAAGTCATGGCTTCCTGCTTGATAGACACTTGGTCCATCACAGCAGAAAGTTCTTGAGAAACACTGGTGGTTACAGAACCAGACTTGCTTGTTGGCAAAGCATCAAGCGGAGTAGGGGGGAAAACTCCATTCTTGGGCTGAGTGATTAGCCCATTTTCAGGGGCAGGCACACTAGCTTCATGCATTAGTGCAGAAGGAGAAGCAGGAGCAGCAAGGTTTGTTTCAGAAGGACTAAACTCGTGCGATTCTTCCTTGATTACAGAAAGATTTGGCGGCAACTCGTTGCCTGCATTCTCTTGTTGTTGTTCAGTCTGCACAACCTCATCCACGGGGTTCTGCTCGGTTTGTACAACCTCATCCACAGGCACAAGGTCTACAACAGGCAGCTCATCTTCCTGCTTGATGACCGGCTCATGCTCTTCTTGTTTGATCACATGCTCAGGGGTAGTCTCGTAAACAAACTCTTCCTCTTGCTTAACTTGAGGTTCAAAACTAGTTTCAACCTTGGGTTCAACATAAGGCTCAACATAGTGTTCCTCATCTTGCTTGATGACAGGAAATGAGGACACAGTATCACTAATACTCTGAGTATCCGACTCTGGGGCCGGCGTAAACACAATCTCAGGAACAGGCAAGTGTAGTTCAGGCAGTTGTTCATCAGGCTTTTCATGAAATATCACAGGAATAGGCACCTGATATTTATCGTCGCCGTTGTCATCATCGTCGCCATCATTGTCGACTTCTTCTTCTTCTTCTTCAGAGACTGTTTGTTGAGTTATTGATGAAGTGGCCAGCGGTGATTTATGACTTGTTGCTGTTGTTGTTTCAATTTTAAGCGGTTCAATGACAGGCAAGTCTGCAGAAAACCCGCGGCCATGGTGGGGGAAAAATATGGCTTTACCTGAGGCCGACGGCTGCGCACTGAGCAGGGCTTCTGTGGCAGCCGCTGAGTTAGTGGCATCAAAAATGGGAAACTCACTCATACTGCTGCCCAGCGATAAAGAGTACTCAGCCAAGTCGGGGAGCTGTGATAACGGAACAGGCGAACGGGGTTCCAAAGAAGCCGTGGTGGCTGCAGAAGTAGTTGTGGCAGCAGAGGCAACGGCTGCAGCAGATGACGAATCGTCAATGATAGTTGCAGGGCGATCTGGAGAAACAGGCGAGGTTGTAGATTCGTCTTCATTGCCTGGGGAGCTTAAAGACGATGTTGGCGGCGAAGAGAAAATGGTTGTAGAGGGAGTATCAACGTGCTTAGGCAACAAGGTTTGCAATGTCTCAGGAACGCTTGCCTCAGGAGGCTCCTCCACAGTAGCTTCGTTTTCATAATCGTAATCGTCTTGATGAGACACTGACAACGCGGCCTCAGACTGGTCCGAGACCTCAGATTGCTCGTCAGGGGTTCGGTACACCGATCCGTTTTCGTCTGTGGTGAAAGAGACTATACTCTCAGAACTACCCGCAACAGAAGCAGAAGCAGGGAATGACACGGGACGAGAGTCCATGGCAAACGGTGCGGCTGGGGGTAGCGGCAAGTTCTCTGACGAGCCATCGAAATTGAAATCCAGCACAGATCCGAGCGACGCAGCAACCTGGTTTTCAAACAAAACACGATCAACGTCACCGGCGCTGCGGCTGCGGCGATGAACAAGGGGTTTTGAAAGCAGGGCAGATGAATTAGCAGCGGGCTCGTCAGGGATACCAAACTTTGAGTTTTTGGCAGGCGATCCAGGGTCCAAACTCTTGTATTCGTACTTAGTTTCGGTGGGGGTCGCCGCACGAGCCTGCTCTTCCTCATCGGCAAGAGTGAAAGTAAGTGAAGCGGCCAGCGCCGGCGCGATATCATCCCAGGAGTTGTTTGCAGGGGCTTCAGCAGGGATAGTGTCGTCGATAGGAGAAGGCTCTTTAGAAAGAAGAGAAGGAGTTTGTTCTGTCACTGTTGGTGTGGAATTGTCACGCAATTCCCGTTTAATCTCCACAGTGGGGCTTGCTAGGACTTTCTCATTCGTGAATTGTGATGGCGACTGATCAAAGGGCGAAGCCAACTGTGTTTGTATTGGCGTTCTGGGAGTAGAAGGTAAGGATGGAGAAGCAATATGGGACTTTTCAAGGAAAGGTAGTTGTTCTTGTTTTATAGGTGTAAGAGCAATAGCATCAGAGGGAGAGTGGACAGCAGGTTCTTGGGCAGGAAATTGAGTGCCTTGGGGGCAAACAGAAAGATGCTCGGGAGATTCCATAATGGACTGCTCTGGCGTGCATGTTTCTGGAGTCTTTGCAGGCGACTGAATTAGAGGCGAACGAATAGGCGTGTGATTGGTGGAAGATTGGACAGGTGACAAAGGAGAAGCTGGACGTGGAGAAGCAACCGATGAGGACACTTTAACAGGAGTTGAAGAACTGATAGAGGTGGTCACCTTAACAGGAGTTGAGATATTGACAGGCGTAGAGGCTTCAACAGGAGTTGAAACACCAGAAGGCACAGAAACTTCAACGGGAACTGAAACATCAATAGGCGCGGGAACTTCAACAGAAGTTGAAGTAACAGCAAGTACAGAGGCTTCAACAGGAGGTTCGGGAACTGCAACATGAATCTCAGAAACAGGTTCAGCAAGAGTTTCAGGTACCTGTGCATCAATATCGGGTATATCAGTCACCGGCTCTACCGGCAACTCTTCGTTGTCGCTGTCTTGAGGTTCTTGCACCTCGGGCACTGCTTGATCATTAAGACCCACTTCTTCATCTTCAGACCCCTCAGGATAACGTTCACCTGCATGTATATCAGGGTAATCCACAGGTAGCTCTACAGGCAAACGAGCAGCAGCAGCAAACGAATCGTCTGCGGCCAATTTGCTTGGAGAAGCGGCCTCGGGAGCCCATGGGGTGTATCGTCTTTTGCGCAGAGGCGATTCAAAGTCCCGCTCCGCAAGACCAAAAGGTTTATACTCTTCATTCTCAGACTCTTGCACAGACTCTACAACAGGCACAAAGACCTGCTTCTCCGGTACGCCGTCGTCATCCTCTTCTTGCTTAATTTCTTTTTCTTCATCAATAGCCATCTGAGTGCCAGGAACATATACAGGAGCCCATGGACGATGGTGTCTGCGTTCGGAGACTTCAGGCGACCCCAGGAACGAATGACGGAGGTGGGGCGACGCCGAAGTCGGTGAATCCATCACGTCGGGCAATATATGACTTGTGGTTTCTAGTCCGTTGGGTCCCAAAAATTCAGTAGTGTTATCGCCACTGATTTCAGAGTCAAGAGCTGGCGAGTGTGGTGTTGCCGGCGACCATAGTCTGTGCTGAGACTCAGATGACACAAGGGTTCGTTTGTATGTGGGGGTGCCATTGATGCCGTTGTCGTAGTTGTCATCTTGATATTCGCCAGAATCTTCTTCTTCGCTTGTGTAGTGATTATTATGAGGGGAATTAGGTGATGTGAAAGAACTTGGCGACGTCACGGACGGGCTAGTTAAAGGTTCTGAGAAAAATACGTCTGGCGAGAGAAGCATTGACACACGCTCGCGCTTGATGGGTTGTGGTGGAGGCGATGGTGTTGACGTGACAACAGCAGGTTCGGAAACAACCCCATGAACAACAGGCGAAGACGAATCAACAGGTTCAGTTTTAATGCGAGGTTCAAGGGGTGAAGAAAGACCTAAAGGTTGCGGTGAGTTCACTTTATTGTAAATATGGTTGTCCTCATCCACAGGCTCAGTTTTGATGCGCGGTTCAAGGGGCGATGAATGACCCAAAGGTGGTGAGTTTACTTGATTGTAAATATGGTTGTTTTCATCCACAGGCTCTTGTTTGACATTAGCAGGTATTTGAGGAGTGCCCATAATTCCTGGGATATCCGTGATGCTAGGGGTTGTAATAGCTGTAGCAATGTTGTGTGAACTGTGGTGATGATGGTGTCCGTCATCTTGATCTTGATCTTGATAATTGTCCAGTCTTGGAGTTTGCGAAGCCATAGACCCCTCGTCTGTGGGCTCAAAAACAAAGTCGGTAGCCATAGAGTCGACATGTTTATGTACATATGGTGATGGAGCTGGTAATGGTGATGTTAACCGTGTTTGTTTAGGTTCCTGAGGCAATGAAGTTTGCGAATTGTCATTAGACGAAGCAAATACAGTAGACGCACGTTCTGGATTGACTGGAGGTGACATGGATCCTGGCGACACAACGACAGGTGTTTTGACAGCAGATTTGGGGGACTTTGTAGATTTGATTGCAGCAGCGTAAGCAACAGCTGTTGCAAACATTGCTGAAAGAGATTTGGGAATTTTCTTGTGGACACCAGTGTTTATCAATGGCGAAGAAGTAGAAGAAACACGGGCAGTTGTAGGGGTAGAAGTGGCAAGAACCATGGGAGCTGGGGATGTAACTGGTGAAGAAACTGGGGACGATGGAGATGGTCTTTGGAAAGTTGCATCAGGGTCCTCATCTTCATCTTCAGTTTTAATTGTTGGTGAGCGCTCGTCTTCTCCGTTGTAATCTTCCTCGGTATCAGACCACTCGCTTTCGCGATTCAACCCGGCAGACTCCTGGAGAAGATCAGGGGCTGGGAGTGCACCTTGAAGAGAGTTGCGTTTCCATTCATCCATGAGCGAGCGTCGACGTTCGGAAACTGACCGACGCGCAAAGTCATCTGTTGAAGAAGATGCAGAACCGTGGTGATCAGTAGATAAGAGCGAGTGTGCAGAGGGAGAAGACCTAGGGGAAGCGGAATTGCGGACAACATGAATCTGGGTTGAAATCTGGCGCTGTGACTCTAATAGAGATCCGTGGCGGGATAAAGACATGTCTCGAAGGGGAGGTAAAACCATTGGGTTTAAGGCGTACTCATCATCTTCTTCTTCTTGATCATCTTCTCCTTGCATAGGCGATCCAAAGCCAAAATGGTTTTCATGAAGCAATTGGTCCGAATCCACTGTCGTTGCCGGGGATTCAGCGACGGTCGGATAGATTGCAAAAGCAGCAGCTGTAGCCGCAGGTAATGGAGGAACTTGGGGAAGTATGGGGAAATTTTGTTGTTCTTCTTCTTCTTGTTTAATTTTGGGGTATTCTTCGGCATCCTCGGGCTCAAAAGAAAAGCGTGGACGAGTTGAAGGGGTAGGCGATGATGAAACACGAGGTTCTTCCATGGGTTCTTCCATGGGTTCTTCTTGTTTGATTCGGTGAGATGAGAATTCCATGGGTTCTTGTTTTGGGGTGAAGAAGTGATGGGACCCAGGTGTAAATGAGTCAGTTTGCAATTGTGTGTCTGGAGTGTACTCGTTATTTGGAGATGTGAACTCACTTGGAGTGAGGTACCCAATAGCCGGTGTACTTTGAGCATCGTCTGTATCAGTTTCGTCTTCTCTTTTAATTTTAGAGTGATGATTAGTAGGAGTATTCCAAATTTGCTGAGATGGGGTTTGCTGATTATCTTCCAGTTTAATGTGGTTTTCAGCCTGTGAAGGAGACCTCATGTGACGCTGATGGGCTAGTCGAGTACGTGTAGGTGAAGCAACTGGTGTTGTTGGCGAATCTTGTGGGAAAAGATTTGGATATTTGGCAGTATATGGAGAGCCTTCTTGTTGTGGGACAACTGGGAGTGGTCTGCGAAGAGAATCAGCACGGGTTGGGGAAGAAGAAGGTGAAAAAGCAAGAACTTCTTCGAGGGATTGTTGATGTTGTTGGATAGACATGAGAGTGGGGGAAACCATTTCTGGGGGTTCTAATACGGGGACATTTGACATTGAATCGTCACTATCATCGTTATAGCCACTGCCGGCAGAAGCAAATGAAGTTTGTGGGGCTTCTAGGTCATATTCCTGAGCTTCATGGTACTCTGCAGAAGTGTTTGTACTAGTCGTAGAAGCATCGGAGGCAAAAGAAATGTCAGGAGATGGTGCTTCGTATTGAATGATTTGTGGTGATTCTTTGACAAAGCTGACGTTTTTCTTTGATTTTTTAGGAGAGTCGATAGCCCGTGGGCCCAAGAGTCTTCCTAGAGAGCCTCTGCGGAAAATTGAAGGTTTTTTAGAGAGAGAGGAGGGTTTCTCACCATCATCTTGGAGGTTTTGTTGGTATAGAGCCGATGCAGTTTTTAGTGCGCTTTTAGTAGGGGATGACGGGGCTACTGCGGGTATAGAAGAGACCGTAGATGTGGTAGAGGATGAGCCATTAGGTTGGGGATAGTACTGTTGTTGTTTTTGTTGTTTTTGTTGATCATCATAGAGTTGTTTTTGACGATGGTAGGCTATTTGTTGTTCCAAGTAAATCTGCTGCTGCTCTGCAGACATGGGCTTGACAGGTTTTGGAGGGGGTCTTGGGTGGTAACGGATGGGTGGTTGGTAATTTTTTTGTGGTGGTGGCGGGAGGTAATGGTGACGATGGATGATTGTACTTTTTGGAGGAAGAGGAGGGGCTGTGGGTTGTCCGTAGAGTGGTGGGTAGTAGTGGGGATGATGGTGATGGTCTGAGCCTGTACTATGGTTTGAACCTAAGGATTCCATAGAAGGTCTATTTTGGATAGTTTGAGTGGTAGAAGAAGAGGAAGCTGAAGAGGATCGATGTTTTTGGTCATATTGAACAAAGTAGTTTTCCTTGATAGAAACTGCTGGGGTTTCTGAGCGTAGCGAGAGTTGAGAAGAGCGTTGTCTAAGTAGCTGGTGAGTATTATTATGGAGTAAAGAAGATGGAGCTGATGAATAAGCCGGGTTTAGAAGGCTTTCAAATGAAGAAGATGCATAAGGATGAGGTTGATGATTTGGGATTGTTATTGGGGTTGATGATGATGTTGTTGTTGTATGTGTTGTTGGTGTTGTTTGAGAAAGATCTTCATGAGAGTGACGCTCGAGACTTGTCCAAAAGGACCGGAGTTTCTGAGTAGAGACTCGGTCCATTTCTATAAAAAAAAAAGTATTTAAAGGTTAGAATGTATTGAAAAACTTATAAAAACGGATGAGTATGACATACTTGTTTACAAAGAGGAAACAGAGATTTTTAGTATCAAAAAATCATAAAAGAAGAAAAAAAAAAAGGGTCTTTTTGATGGTTTGGAAAAAAATGTGATTATTGACAAGATGAGATTTTTAACAAATGATTAGATTGTTTACAAGGAATTAGTTTTTTTTTTTTTTTGACAAGAATGTAAGTATAAGTTGTATAATAAAGAAAGAAAGAGTATTTAAAAACAGTGATTAAAGAAATTAAATAATTAAATAAATAAATAAAAAAAAATGAAAATGAAAGAATCAAAAAATGATTTTTTTTTCTATAAAGGGTTGTTGTTTATTGTTTAGGTTAATATATAATAGGTAAATTGAGAAAGAAAGGAGGTTTTTTTTTTTCTTAATAAATTTAATATTAACCAAAGAAAAAAAAAAGATTTTTTTTTTTTTTATAAAACAAATAAAACCCACACAATTGATGGCAGTCAACAGACCGAATATGAAAAATAAAATATAAAATAAAAATAAAAATAAAAGGCAGCAGTCAAGTCAAGTTTAAGCAGCAGTTTAAGCAGAAAGTTGAAAAGTAACAAATTTTGAATTGTTTTTTTTTTTTTTTTTTTTTTTTTTTTTTTACATCTACAATAAAATATTTTTTTTTAAAAAGATTTCTAAAAGATTTTATTAAAATCAAAAGATTCTTTCTTCTTCTCTTAATAGTTTTTTTTTTTTTTTGTAAATTAAAATATAAATAAATTTCTTTAAAGAAGATCCTTCTTAACTAAAAACGCGTTTAATTTTTAAAAACATTAAAAATTTAAAATTTTAAAAATATAAAAATATAAATAAATAAATAAATTAAAAAGTTTCTTTTTTTTTCGTGTTTTGTTGGTGATGTTTTTATTATATATATATTTAATAGTGGAGCAGAAAACCCACCGTTGCTAGGGACAACACTGCTAAAATTGCTGGCGCCTGAATGTCTTCTCTCTCCCCCTGCATTTTTTGTTATTGCACAAGAAAACGCGTAATGTTGGTGGTGCCAAAGTGGCGTTGAAAAAAAAAAAAATTAAAAAAAAAATGCGTAGCCCTGGGAAAAAAAAAAAAAAACCGCGACATTCAATACGCGAGGCTTTAAACCTCCCCCAAAATAAAATAAAAAATTATGCGTGGCTGTAAATAAAATTTTCGATCGTTACATTTAAATCTTTCTTGAAACACAGCCGTACTTAAAATCTGGGGCAAGTTTCAAATAATAAACACACGTGATTTAATTATTAACACTTAACACTTAACACTTAAACTTTAAATATTAAACTATATAAATAAATAAACAAATAAACCTTACAACTTATTTTCATACTTGCCATACTCAGGCTTCCAGTACTGACGGAAGGTATAAGTTAAACCAACATCACGAATCTCCTGAACTTCATCATCAGTAAGCTCAAAATCAAAAATCTCTAAACTCTGAGTTTGACGACCACTATCTGCAGAAGTGGTAATAGGTAAAACACCATTCTGATAAGTCCATCGAAGCTCAACTTGAGCAGGTGTCTTCTTATACTTGGTAGCAATCTTTTCAAGCACAGGCTTTAAGGGAGCCTTTTCATCCTTAGCAATCACAGGACCCAAGGGTGAATAAGCTTCAACCAAAATTCCATGGTCCTGAGAAAACTTGACAATTCCTGGAGTCTGGTTTTGCAAATAGGCATTGTACTCAATCTGGTTAACAGCAGGCTTAATCTTGGCAACCTTTAAAATGCGCTCCAAATCAGCAATGGCAAAGTTGGAAACACCAATTGTCTTAACCTTGCCTTCCTCTTGAAACTTTTCAAGCTTTGCCCAAGCATCTTCAAGGGAAATTCCATGCTTTTCTTCAGTTACAAAAGGAGCATGAATCAAGTATAAGTCGATATAATCAATTCCAAGTTTCTTTAAAGAATCAGCCAATGCAGCCTCAGGGTTTCCAATCTTGGGGAGCACCTTAGTGGTAATGTAAAGCTTTTCACGAGGGACACCAGCCTTTTTAATTGCAGCAGCAACCTCGCCTTCAGTATTATAAACTTCTGCTGTATCAATGTGGGTGTAGCCATTGGAGATGGCAAGAGCCACAGCGTCAACAACCTTTTCATCAAGTTCGTCAAGGTTGGAAGACTTAAACCACTTGGTGCCAGTGCCATAACCAACGGCTGGAATTGTAATGCCATTGTTCAGTTTAAAAGTGGGGATTGAGGGAGACATTTTGGATAAAAGGTGTTTTAGAATAGAGGTAATTGTTTTGTTTATATGTGTGGGGGGAGTTTTAATAAAAGTAACAGATATGTGGGGGGGAGAGGGAGAGGATAGTAACTATTAAATATATAGAATAAATAAATTTAAAAAAAAAAAAAAAAAGAGAAAAAAATTTTTAAAAAAAAACTTAGGTCAATTGAGAAAGTATTTATAGTTGTCTGCTGTTATATTATATATATATTTTTTTTTTTGGTTATTAGACGTTTGATTTGATTTGTAAGGTGTGATGATGACAAATGGGTAAGGTATATGGTGATTGTGGGTTATATTAAGGGTAATGGTGATGTATAAACTACCAGATATTGTGATATCCTTAAGGTAATGAGATGACATACACCACAATTGACTACTATATTAAACATAATAATTAGTTTACTTACTTGTTTGCTTGTTCTCCCCCACCTCCATACTGTTAAAGAATTTTCTAATTGCTTTACATGGATAATAAAAAAGTAACTAAGTAAGTAAGTACCTGTGAGTGCAATTAAAAAAAAAACTGTTGAAGAGAGTGATCCGACCTTCTATCGGCTCGATGAAAAGGAAAGGATAGAGACTATAAAGAGGGTTTTACACATGCCCCATAATATTAAATGATTTGATTAATTGGTGGCAGATGTAACAACAACAATTGTCTTTTATTTTAAAATTTGGTTTTTTTTATTTAGTTTTGTTTAATGAAATAACTAAAACGGCTTTTAAAGGGTAATTTTAATTCCGTATGATCAAATCAAAATTCCAACTTTTTTTCTTTAGGTCTTTAGTTTCTTTTAGTTCTATTAGTAGATATATTCCGTGGGTTATGATTAGGTATATGTCCAATTGTGACATGCCATAATGAAATGAATGGTGCAACTTGTGGAAGGAAAGACAAACTCTCAATAACTCAATAATAAATCCAAAAGTTACACTAACAGTACTGTTAAGTAGTATAAATATATATATATATATATATACATTGTTATTGTGACACAACTTAAATGTTTTAATTGTTAAATAAACTATAATTAAATATTTAAAATCATGTGAAATTAGTGTGGATAATTTCCAAAAAAAAAAAAAAAAAAAAAAGTTTTGTTACAACTTATAAAAAAAACATTTGTTACATTAAGAGCTCTTACTATATATAATTTTTTTTCTTTTTTTCTTCTCTGTAAGCAGTAAATGACTTAGTAATCAAATAGAATATGATTAAATTAAATTAAATTAAATTAAATTAAATTAAATTAAATAAAAAATCGGAAATCTCCATGTATGTACCTTTTAACTTAAAAAAAATGTATCTAGCCTCCGGTACCGGAGAGCGGTTCGGAGTTCCGGTTATATTTATTAATTTTTTATTTTTTACTTTTCACTTGTTTTTGAGCTAACTGGTTGGTTTGCCGCTTTGCCATAAACTGTGGCTCAGCTTATCCGTTTTCAAAATCTTTACATTTAAAGGTGTATACGACACACTCACACACACACAAAAATTCCGTCATTTAAAACGGCCATTTCGTTCTATTTAATTACATAATCGCGCACATACACACACTGATAACAAGAAGAAAAAAAATAAAAAAGTTATATTAAATATTGTGTTATTACACGTGACATGTCATCATTTCTTCTTATCATGATTGAATTTTTTTTTTTTTTCCTTTCAAACCCCACAGAATTTTTTTTTTTTTTTTTATCCTCAATCGCCAGTGGATTTGATTGCCCTTAGACTATATGGGAAAAATCATTAAAAATAATATTTGATTGCCTTTGCGGGCTTTAGAATCAAAAAAAAATAAAAAAAAAATAAAGAAAAAACACCGTTTCCTTATTTCTATAAATACTCCCCAAGATCCTCTGATTTTCCTGTCTTTTTTCTCCTTTTTTTTTTTATTTATTATTATCACAATATTTCATCTCAATCACTTTCAAAACTCGACTTTTAATATTTTCAACTCTTCCCTTATTTATTTAATAACTATAAACTTTAAACTATACAACTTCTTCAATAATTACAATGTCTCTTGGTCGTTTCATCGTTTCTCAGCTCAAAGCCGCCAACGCTGCCTTTAACGCTTCTCCCGCTGCCCGCGCTTCCATTGTTTCCTCCTCTTCCTCAGCTCGCCCCTTTGTCGTGGCCAACAATGGAGATTCCCCATCCTCCTCTTCCTCTTCTGGTTGTGAGTGCGGTAGCTCTGGTTCCAATACATGTGCTTAAGTTTTAAAGCTTAAATCTTAAAGCTTAAGGCTTAAGGCTGTACCAGAAAATGAGTCTGGCTTAAACTCATCATCATCCACTTTGCATTATTATTCCCAACCACTACCACTATTTTATGTTACGACTGCTTATGATCTTTTAATGTCCTGTTTATGTTTTTTTTATATATGTATAATATTTGATAATATACAAACCTTGTTGAAATCTTTAAAAAATGTCTTAGAAATCTTTAAAAAAAAAACCTTGTCGATATGTACACCCCATATCTGATAAAATTTAACTATAACTTTAACTTTAATTATTGTAGATTAAATTTAAAAATTATTACTCCCAATCATCATCACTATCCTCATCACTCACACTCTCCTTGACAGCCTTACTCTCATCATTCTTGTTCAGCTCAAGCTCAGCCTCCTTCACCTTACTAGGCAAATCCAAAATTGAAGGCGTCTTGGAAACCAAGTCATAAGATGCTTCCGATGACGGACGAGAAGACCCAGGCGCCGATCCAGTGCCAATTGGAAATGCCTTAGGTGATGCCTTCACTGTCATAGTCTCTCCATCATCTTCATTCACATCATCACCAGTAGTCTTATCCTCAGACTTGACCTCTGGCTTAACCTCTGGCTTGACCTCTGACTTGACCTCTGGCTTGACCTCTGGCTTAATCTCTGGCTTAATCTCAGACTTAACCTCTGGCTTAACCTCCGATTTAACTTCAGGCTCAACCTCTGACTTGACCTCTGACTTCTTCTTCTTCTTTTCATTATCCCCATCTTCTTCTTCTTCTTCATTACCATCATCATCATCATCATCTCCCCAATTAAACTCCTCGTCCTCGTTATTGCCCTCAGCTGCAGACTGTAGTAATGTTTTCCTCTTTTGTTCCTGCGCCTCAATCTCTCCACGCATATAGTAATACCGTGCCCAAAACTCGCCATATGATACCTTCCCAGGCCCAACAACGCTCTCCATCAACCCCCTCAGCTTCGGGTACTGCTTAAGATCCCCGGCAATCCGCTCTGTCGCACCCTCAACATCAAATGTCTTCTGAAACTCCGCATACCCAGGGCCTGGTGCCTCCGTGCTCGTAAATGGAGCAGCCGTCGTGTGCAGCGCATGAAGCTGTGCATCCACACGTGTGGTATAAATTTGGTCTCGAATATCTTCAGGCACATGAAACAAAACCTCACCAGAAGAAGCTGCTTTAGCCTCAGCTGAAGGTCCAGAAACAATAACTGCATCCTTTAAAACGCTCTGCAAATCGGTTCCCATCTGCAGTAACCGTTTTCCAGCACGGTTCTCCAGCTGCTCAAGGTCCTTGTCCAAATCGTCCACGTATTTCTGTGCGGCCGATGCAATCGAATCAAAAAAGCTACCTTTAGATGGAGGTTTTTCTGTTTTTGATTCTTCTGATGCATTTTCTGTTGTAGTTTCTTTCTTATCAACCTCCACCTCCTCCTTAGTTTCTTCTCCTTCAACCCCCTTCTTGACAGTATCTCCAATCAAATCATCCAGCTCACTCTTAAGCCCTTGTAACTCAAGCTTGGTCTCCCGAATAGTCTTGCTCAAAGTCTCACCTCCTTGTTTCTTGACCTTGCTCCAGAACCCGCCCAGAGCACTCCCCCATGCGTTGATTGAGTTCTCCAGCTGGTCCGCGGCCTTATCAAACGCCTCAGCGGCTGCTGCAGGGACCAATGGCTCAGGGGTAGGTGTAGTTTTCTTCTTTTCATCGGTAGACTTGTCCTCCTTTTTATCTTCCTCTGTTGGCTTATCAGATTCTGCTACAGAAGGAGAAGAAGAACTTTTATCGTCACTGACGCTCGTGGTCTCCATAATTGGCTCTGCAGTCTTTTCTGGTGCAGCTGTAATTGCACCAAGATGATCGTATGCCGTATCCATAATGCGTTTTTTTTTAATCTTCGTCCTGGTCTTCTTCTCCCTTGAGTATATCAAATGGTGTGATTATGGATTGTAATGATGATAAAGAAGACTTTAAAGTATGTGGTGGTTGTGTCTTAAAAAAAAAAAAAGAAAAAAAAGGTGTCGTTCTTGCTCCTTTGATTATATAAAACTTAACTATATAATTAATTTAAGTTAAATTAAATTAATCTTATTTAACAAAAGTTAAATAAATGTCAACCGTTTTTTTTAAAAAAAAAATCCTCCACTGCCAAATCACCAAAATCAGTTTTAATCTACCCACTACAAAAAATAAAAAAATAAAAAAAACGTTTATCCAAAACTAGTCATATAATGGATCCCCTAATCCCACCACTACGATTTCATGTCGTCCAACCTGACCTCTACTGCGGCTCATATCCACGGCCTCGCAACCGCCGCTTTCTTGAGGGTCTCGGGCTGACTGCCATTTTGTCCGTGACGCCGACACCGCTTGGCACAGACCCGGACGAGGACGCGTGGCTCGTAGAGTTTGCACGCGAAAACAACATCCAGTTAATCCACATTCCGAGTGCGCCAGCGTCGTCCAAGTCTAAGAAAAAGCGCGGAGTCCCGCTGGAGTATGATGTTGCCAGAAAGGCTCTCCAAGTAATGATTGACCAAACATCAGCCCCCCTCTATGTTCATTGCATGAACGGGTCTCAGGTCTCGTGTCTCCTGGTAGCGTGTCTGCGGAAATTGTCCTTCTGGTCCATGGCTGCCATTTCGGATGAATTCCTGAGGTACTGCGACATGGAGCCTGCAGATGCCAACTTTGTGGAAGGCTTTCGAGCGGAGATTAGTGTTCCGGAGGAAAAAGTCCCATGGATCTGGCAGGGGCTTTCAAAAACAGGGGTAGTCAGGCATCATCCTACTCTAAAATTTAATGACATGGCATGAATGAATGAATGAATGATGAATGATAATTATTAAATATACAAAAAAAAATTATTTTAAACAAAAGAAAAGGTTTTACATATTTATTGTTGATCCAAACGAAGACCCATACCCTTGAGATACTCAACACCATCTTCAAACTCCTTGTGCTTGCGGGCAGCAGACCAGTGCAGCTCGGCGCCCATGACCTCAACCACCTTAGGCAGAGCCTCGTAGGCAGCGCGGCAGTCCAAAAATGCCAGGCGACATCGGCGGGCCAAAAAGTCAACGGCGGTGACGGCATACTCATACTTGACGGCATAGCCAATTTCCTCCGACAAGAATGGGTAGGGCGATGCTAGTCTGGTGCCTCTGGTAGCGGTGACGACCGAGTGTGTGGAAGATGCTGGGGGGGTGGCCTCCTTCAGGCTCTCGGCAACAGTGTAAGCACGTGTGCCGTAGTTTTCACTCAAGTGGCGTGCAACCTCAGGGTCCAGAGCATACTTCTGGGCCAGGTGGATGTATTGCAGCGGGCTCCATTGGTCGGCTCCCACAAGCTTGAGGGATTCGGTGGCAGTCTTGGGCACGGGAGGTTCCAGCTTGCCAATGGCAATGGCTTCGTCAACAGCCTCCTGAGCCATTTGACGGTAAGTGGTCCACTTACCACCGGCAATTGTCAGCAGACCTGAATCAGAGACTGTGATGAGGTGATTGCGGACAAGAGACTCTGTGTTTTTGGCCTTGGGGTCGCGGACCAGTGGTCTGATACCAGACCAGGCCGCAAGCACGTCCTCGCGGCGCACGTCGAGCTTGCCCTCAAAGTATTTCGAGACTTCCTTGAGAATAAACTCAATGTCTTGTTCGGAGGGGATGGGGTTAGCAGAAATTGGAGAAGGCGAGTCGGTGGTACCAGCAATGGTAGAGCCTTGCCATGGCAGGAAAAAGATGACACGACCGTCAGAAGTGGCAGCATCTAAGAGACCCATGCGCTTGGGAGAGTAAAAGCCAGGGAGCACAATGTGGACACCGGACGAGGGAGCGACAATTTCTCTAACAGAGGGCTCGTCAAACTTGCGAATGGCATCGGTGAAGGGGCCAGTGGCATTGATGACAGATTTGGCACTGATGGAAACTTCTTCAGTCAATTCACCGTTAAGGTCCTTTGCCTTGACACCGATAATCTTGCCATTAGCGTCCTTTTCAAGGCCCGTGACTTCAACGTGGTTGAGGACAGTTGCACCCATTTCGGCAGCAGTGACGGCTAGAGACACATTCATGCGCGAGTCATTGTGGGAGCCATCGTAGTAGACAATGGCACCCTTGAGGGTATCAGAGTTAAGCTGGGGGAAAGCCTCGAGAGCCTTTGAGCGGGTAAGAAGGTAGGATGACTCGAGGTTTTGTTTACCGGCCAGCAGGTCGTAGCACTTTGTACCAACCCAAAAGTAGGGCAGCTGCCACCATGTGTATACGGGGATCATGATGGGCAGGGCAAATGAGAGATGCGGCGCAATGTCAAGAAAGACTTTGCGCTCATGGAGAGCTTCACGGACGAGCTGGTACTGGTTATAGTCGAGGTTCCAGACGGCCTTTTCAAGGTAGCGGACACCACCGTGGATGAGCTTTGTAGAACGAGAAGAAGTTCCTGAAGAAAAGTCATCGCGCTCCAAAAGAGCAACCTTAAGGCCGCGCGAAGCAGCGTCAACAGCAATGCCAGTACCTGTTGCACCACCACCAACAACGACAATGTCATATTCTGAGTTAAGTTTAGCGAGAAGGTCTTTACGAGATGGTGGAGGAAGAGCCGGAGCTGGAGGAATAATGTGCTTGTCTTCGTAGGTCAAGAGCTTTGATTGAGCGTGAGCGCGAGTTGTAGAGTTGTAGATGGCAGCACCTGCGAGAGCTGCAGCCGCAGCCGAGGTCGTCCAGACGAGAGAGCGGCGAGTAGCAAACATTTGGATATGAAGGGATTAAAAAAAAAAAAAAGAAAAGGAAAGAAAAGAAAGAAAGAAAGAAACTAGGGAATCCTTTTGAATTATGGAAGAAAATATTAAAAATTAATAAAAGAAGAAAAAATTTAAAAAATTAAAAAAAAAAAGTTTACGGACGGGAAATTCCCATGTATTTATGTGAAATTGCCATCACGTGGGGAGGAAAGGATGGGAAAAGACCGACGGGTGGGCATGAAAAATTTTTGCAAGAAAGATGAGGACGACGGCAATTGAGGATTAAGAAAAAGGCCTCAATGGATTGAAGGGTTGATTGATTCTGGCGTGATGAAGAATTGTTGGAAGAAAGGAAATGACAAGAGATAGTAGATGGTGATTACAACGAATTAAAGATCTGATGGTTTATTTTAGAAAAAAAAAATTATATATATATATATATTTATTTAAATATTTAAATAATAATAATAACAACAGGAAAGGATGATAATTTGCCAGTATCCGAAAAAAAAAACAAAACGGGGATATGTGCTCCGTCCATTGAGATGTGAATGAACAAAAAAGAAATAAATGAATGAATAAATGAATAAATATATAATATAAATGTAGTAGAAGACTGAAAAAGAGAGAAAAGAGAAAGGTTTTTTTTTTATGACTGAATCAATGAATGAAAAAATTAGAAGAAGAAAAAGAAAGATTTTATAATCAACTCTATATATATATTTATTTTATTATAATAATTTATATAATAATTATTATTATATACTTTATTATTTATGTGAATCCAAAATTCTTATTGCTACCAAAAGACTTTCAAAGTTTGAGTTAAAAGACGTCACTTTCTTTCTTTCTTTCTTTCTTTCTTTCTTTCTTTCTTTCATTTTTTGCTACTGCCTTTTTTCTTTATTTTTTTTTATTTTTTTTTTATTCTCGCGCCCCGCATAGGTAAATATGCTTTTGGTCAGCAGATTATCAAAGTAAAGTTTTATTTTATAAATATATATATTCTTCTTCTATTTCTTTATTTTACAAAGTTTATTGTTATTATTAATATACAGACATAATTATGTCTGGTCTGGTTTAAAATTGAAAAATCCATGACGCTGACTTGGTTTGACTGGCTGAGAAATTTTTTATTTTTTTTTATTTTTTTTATTTTTTTTTAAAAAAAAAATTAAAATCACAACGGCCCTGTCATTGTCCATAAAAACTATAAACGCCGCATAAAATTACCTTATAAGGAAATAATATGCGATCATCCATAAGCCTCACGAAAATAAATAAATAAATCCAATTTATTATATATATATTTTTTATTTATTCATATATATATATTCATTTAATTCGGTCTTCAGAATAAACACAAATATGACTACACCCAAAAAAAGACCCGTCGCTGCTTTAACTTCACCAGACCGAGACCTGGATTCTCAGGCCCCGTCCAAAAAAAAACCAAAAGTAGCGGTACCCACACTCTCAAAAGATACCTCCTACTCAACTAACAATCCTGAAATACCACCGCGTGCTCCTCCACCATCTCCCTCTATTACATCTCCAACCCTCAGCGATATTGCAGATGCCCTCTTCTCTCTGGAATCCATTACAAACTCCTTTATACCCAAATAATAATCATAATCATAATCATATCAATGCTATAGCATTCATCATATTAAAATAATACCCTATGTTCTATAAAAGAAAAAAAAAAGTCTCTATTCATCATACCTTATATTCTCGCAGCTACCTTGACCTTGTCATGGAAAAATTCCGTGGCCACCCGCCCTTGCTTATCGTAAACCCGCCCAGTAATAACTGTAAATGTTTTGGTCTCGGCAACAACAAATACCTCCATTTTGACTAGATCACCTTCACTAACAGCCCTCAGAAATGTCGCAGTTAGAGTCCGGGATACTCCCATCATCTTGGCTACCCGCTTAATTGGTACGAATATATCTATCGTCTTTTCCTCATCACTATACCCCTCCCAGTACCGATCAAACCCGGCCACTGCAAATGACGACAGATTATCAAACAATGTCACCTGGAACCCACCATGCATAGTCCCCCGAGGATTTAGCATTTCCCGTGTAACTGTCATTTCAAACTCGGCTCGTAAAAGGTACTTGCTCTGTGGATCTCCACTCAGATCTTCACATGAAATGCACTGTGCTGCTTCCGACGTTTTGGCTCCCCATGCGCTCATTGGCTCCGAGCTGTTGGATATTAACGGTGTTCCATTGATGAAGAGATTAACACGGTCTGCCCGGTTCGATCCGGGTCGTAAAGATGCTAGTTTTTCCATTGTTTGTAGAATAATAATAATAATAATAATAATAATAATAATAATAATAATAATAATAATAATAATAATAATAATAATAATAATAATAATAATAATAATAATAATAATAATAATAATAATAATAATAATAATAATAATGATAATAATAATAATGATAATTAAATAATTAAAAAATACTTTAAAATGGTTGCTAAAGTTTGTTTTTTTTAAAAAAAAAAAAATCAACACGCCCTCTGCTTGGGTATTTATAATCCTGTAGACAAAAACCCACCCCGAGTCCATTCGCCTCGGATGTGGGGTAGCAGCTATGTATATATATTCAGCTAATGTTTACCGAGAAATAACACATCCATCTTATTATGGGTAACCTATTATAACTTTAATTTTTATTAATAACATCAATAACTTATCTAACTCATAGTTACTAAACTTACAATAAATAACCAGATTTTACTTATCGCGCCATCACTTGGGTCTTCCCAAACCTTTTTACAAAATCAACCTTCCAACAAATAAAATAAAAAAACCTCCAACTCATTCAAATCAAGAACGCAACTCCCCTCCCCATGAGAGCCCCGCCACTTACCCACAACGGCTTCACTGCCGTAATGGCGGTTCTCATTGCTTTCTTGTCTGTAGTATCTGCTACTCCTCCATCCTCCTCCTTCTTCCATTTCACAGACTTCACTCCACTCACCCTGGACCAATTGGCCACAAACGCACGCGACATGTTCTACCATGGATGGTCAAACTACCTTCGTAATGCCTTTCCAGACGATGAACTTAGACCCCTCACCTGTGAAGGCCTCTCCAAAGACGAAAACGATCCTTCAAACATTGGCGTCAATGATGTCCTTGGTGCCTACTCGGTCACCCTCATCGATGCTCTCGACATGTTCCCCATTCTTGGAGACCAACAAGGCTTTGAACGAAACGTCGATCGTGTCCGCAAATACGTCTCATTCAACGTCTCCTCTACCGTCCAGGTCTTTGAAACTACCATTCGTGCAATGGGTGGCCTTCTCTCTGCTCATCTGTACGCATCTACCCCACGTCTCGGCCACCAAATACCAAACTATGACGGCTTCCTCTTGCACTTGGCATACGACCTTGCAGAGCGCTTACTCCCGTCTTTCAAATCGCCTTCAGGCATCCCATACCCCCGAATAAACCTTAAGCATGGCCTCCAGCCAAAAGTTTACCCAGGAAATATTACGGAAACTTGCACCTCCGGCGCAGGCTCCCTTGTACTAGAGTTTGGCCTGCTCTCACGACTCACAGGTGACTATCGCTTTGAAACAGCAGCAAAACGCGCTTTTTTTGCCCTCTGGCAACGTCGCTCAAATCTCGACCTAGTTCCTATGGCTATCGACGCAGAATCTGGCCTCTGGCTAGCTCCCATGACTGGTGTCGGTGCAAGCATCGACTCCTACTACGAGTATGCCATCAAATACCATGTCCTCTTCACATCCCCAGACTTTCTGTCAGTCTTCAACAGAGCACACCGTGCACTTTTATCTCATTCCTTTGACGGCTGGCTTTTCCATAATGTCAACTTTGAGCGCGGATCTACCGTCACCTCTTGGATCGACTCGCTGGCTGCCTTTTACCCCTCCATCATGGTTCTGGCCGGCGACCTTGAAAACGCTGTCCGTGCCCATCTCGCTTACTATAAGATTTGGAACACTTTCTCGGCCATTCCAGAGCGCTGGTACGCTATTCCGAGAATATACTCTTCCCGATTTACGTCTGAAAACGCTGTCAATCTTGAGTGGTATCCTCTGCGGCCGGAATTCGTCGAGTCAAACTATTACATCTACAAGGCAACAAAAGACCCATTGTTTTTGCAAATCGGAAAAAGCGCAATGGAGGACCTTGAAAAAAGAAACAAGGTCCAGTGCGGATACGCAGGTACCCAAAATGTCAAAACAGGACAACTATCAAACCGCATGGAAAGCTTTTTCCTCTCAGAAACTACAAAATACCTATACCTGCTATTTAACCAAAGCCACCCGCTAAATAAGGAATTCTCAAACTCTGTCTTCTCAACTGAAGCCCATCCGTTTTGGTACGACAAGGATATCATAAAACATGCAGGTGCACACAACTTTGAACTCCTAAGACGTGTCTGGGATAAACAGGAACAGCCACCATTGACTAGTCCAGAAATTACCAAAGAACAAGCAAAGCTTTTGCGTGAGCTTCTTGATAGCGAAGATACACCCTGGTATAAGAAAATGACAGTATCGGTGCTATGGGGCGACTACCGCAGCTCCTTTGAGAAGCGCCACCATAAAAGTCTCTTTGCAAGAATCCTGCGCAGGGCACTATACTACCTCAAAAAATTCAACTACCATTTTGATTCATACTTTATGCCCAGAGTCCTGGACTATATAACCAAAAAAAATGAGTATGCTATCCAGCACCAGCACCAGCAGCAAACCCTGGCGGTGCTGCCAGCAAAGCACACTAAACCATCTGCATCATCAACACTGCATAAAACAGCTGCACTCAAAAATCAAAACTATCATCATACCCGGTCACCAGCCTATTCATACAATAACCAGTGCGAAGTTTGGCGGCCGTACTCCGTGTTATACCCTGATTCGAGTGTTTCCGGTGCCATTGTGTCAACCCTGCAAATCCACTCAGGGATGTACTCGCCCATTGCATCTTCGCCACAGTTTTTCCAGCTCGACCGGATGTACATGTACAAGCGGCCGCGGTATTTGCGTAAGTACGTTTCGTTTGAGGATCGTCCTGGGTTCTGGGACCGCTACATTGCGCCCGAAGGCCAATGTCTTGCTCAAACAGCAGAGGCACCTGCATTAGGTCCACCGGCACAAAATGCAGGAGAGGTGGAAATAATGTTCATGCTGCAGGAGGGGACCCAGCGCGGGTCGGTGGTGCTGAGATATGGAAACGGAACAGTCGAGGCTACCAACTTGAATGGAATGAGAATCAAGTTGAGAGAAAGAGGAAATGGAGAACCTCCAAAGGAAGAGTATGTGGAGTACGAGGAAGAAGAAATTTACGATGAGGAGGATTGTGTATATGGGGAAGAAGATGAGGATCTGGATGAAAATAAAGATGAAGATGAAGTTGAAGTTGAAGTTGAAGAACAGGATGTGGATGACGATGACAATGAAGAAGAATACGATGATGATGAGGACGAAGACGAAGACGAAGACGAAGACGAAGACGAAGACGAAGACGAAGACGAAGACGAAGACGAAGACGAAGACGAAGACGAAGACGAAGACGAAGACGAAGACGAAGACGAAGACGAAGACGAAGACGAAGACGAAGACGAAGACGAAGACGAAGACGATAATGATAATGATGATAATGATGATGATGATGATGATGATGATGATGATGATGATGATGATGATGATGATGATGATGATGATGATGATGATGAAAAAGAAGACGAAGACGATAATGAACTGAAAGAAATAAAGCCTTTCTCCAAAAGCATACCCGACCCAGCGTTGCCGCTCTACGATATTATTGTGATTGATGGCATTCGGGTCCCTAAGCGTCTGCGGCTTCAAACCCTTTGGCTCTCGCGCGGCGTCGTAGAGCTCACGCCGCAAGGCCGGGTGCGGATCCAAAATTTTACCATAGAAAATATTGACGTGACCAACTTGTACTCATAAAAGGGGGTGTAAATGCATGAAGAATTTATATATATATAGATATAATAAGGAAAAGATTGTATACAAAAAAAAATTATTACAAAGGAAAAAATTACTTAGTCAATTGGAATGCTCTTACCAGGAAGCCTATCATGAGGGGTTGATGAGCTCTCTGTTTGAGACGAATTGCCCTCAGGAGACACATAGTCTGTATTGATGGCCTCTACCCGGTCCACATATAAACTGAATGGCCCGTATTGCTTATCGATGAGCCCTATGCCAATTGTCTTGACATACTCGGTATTAATTTTGCGTTGTTCCTGGATAACCCCCCAGTTAGTGAGAATAAAATCCTGTAGAGGAATCAGAACCGTTTCCCATTGTCCCGGAGTCTTCAAAAACAGTCTGTGCTGGTAAATGTCTGCAGGTAACGGAGAATCTGCTTGAATGTTGACAAAATACTTGCGACGGTCGCCCTTGACCCTCAACATAATGTGTGTGCAACCACGCCAGTCCCAGTGAGGCGGGTCTCCAAACATTTGTGAAACGCTCTCACTGAACCCGCGTGCACGTTGGTCTCTAGTCCGGAACATAGCGTATCCAGATTGTACGACATCTGGTCGGTTTGCTGGCAGATCCAGGTTTAGTACGCCGTGAAAGTGGCCCACCATCTTGGGGGCAAGCGTCGCACAGGCCGTCGCCGCGTCAAACGATGACGACGAAGAAGAAGAGATATCATCAACTTTGCCCGGAAGAGGTGCCGCAGGAGTTTCGAGGGATTCTAGATCAACGTGGGCTGTGGAGTATCCGCCAAGTTCAGAGTCTGAGCGCACGAGAATGTTTTTGAGCTCATTTGTGCGTGCAAAGTCCATGAGTGTTTGACGAACCGAAGGAACAGACGCTGAGAAGAAAAAGTTAGAGTTACATGTATTAACCAATTGATCAATTAAAAAGACTGAATAATCTAAACTTACAAACAACGCCTGCCCTTTGGAGAAGCTTGATGAAGGACATTTTATTTATTTATTTTTAATTTTGTTTTGAAGTCTGTGTGGTGGATTTTTGCGTGTGACAATAACGAGGGCTTTAATAATGGAGGGGCAAAAAAAATAAGAAATAAAAAATACGAAGAGATGAAAAAAAAAAAAAGTTGTAATAAAGGTGTAACAATTTTTGTAATTTAAATTAAAAAAAAAACCTTTCTTAAAAGTGGCAACTTCACAAAAAAGAATTTATACATCAAAAAGAAGGTTAGCATTTCATGAAATGAAAAGAAAAATGTAAATAAAAAAAAAGATAAAATTTCTTAATTTTTTTTTTAAATAATTTGATATAAAAACTGCAAAAAGGTAGTGATTCGACCCAGGATCGAACTGGGGACGTTCTGCGTGTTAAGCAGATGCCATAACCTACTAGACCATCGAACCCTAAACCTTAATATTTTAAAAGTACTTAAAGTCTAAGCGAGCTTTATTTAGAAATTGAAATCTTTAATTTACAAATAATAGGGGAAAGAAGGATAGCGCAGATGCTGATGTTATATAATTCTATAACCCTTGAATAAAAACAAACAAACAAACTAATAGGGGAAAGGAAGAGAAAGGGCTGGATGGTGTAAAGGGTAACATGTTCGCTCGATAGCGGAAGATACTGGGTTCGATTCCCAGAATACCCCCTTTTCCTGAGGATGTGTACGGGAGTATACACCTAGACTGAAAACCATAGGCTACCCTGGTTACCGGAATGCCGACTCTTCCGTACAGTCTAAATAGCCTGCAGGTGATTGCGGGCCGTATCTCTGACGGAAGAGATTAAGAAATACATGGGCGTCCGTGAAGATAAGTGGAAATGGGTTGGGAAGGTTTTGGGACCGACAGACTGGTTCTCCCTGTTCCTCGTAAGCTGGCATCAGGGCCCATCTTCCGGGCTACCGGAGACGCACAGAACAGAAACCACCCGTATTAAAAAGGTACAAATGAAAACCGGCAAGTCACATAGTCAGACAATAAAAGGATAGCGCAGATGCTGATGTTATATAGTTCTATAACCCTTGAATAAAAACAAACAAACATAGTGGAGTGGATGAAAATACACTAAGTGATCACTCAATTGTGGAGTGGGACATCTCTATGTCTCAGAGTAAAAACGGGGATGAAGATTTTACTTCGGTGAAGAGATTGAATATTAAGAATGCAGATTGGGAAAAGTTTGACAAGGAGCTTTCTTCTACCATTAAAGATTTTAATGTGCATAACAAAACTCTAAAATCAACTGACCAAATTGATGACCAAGCTAAAGTTCTTGAGGAGATTGTAAAAAGAGCAATGGCAAAGTCGATGAAGAAAGTTAAGGTGATGAAAAAGTCCAAACGCTATTGGAATCAAGAATTAAGGGAGAAGTTAGAAAAAGCGCTAGAAGCTAAAAGGGAAGCCCGTCAAAGGCAACCTTCTTTGGCTTTGAAACGACAAAAAATTGAAGAGGCGAAAAAAGCTAGAAAAATTTTTGACCACAGTTTGCGTGAAGCAAGTACTGAGCAATGGAATAAATATTTGTCTAGTTTAGAAGGAAATGACATTTGGAAGATTTTGAAGTACATTAATCCAAAAAGCAATGATACCATTATACCACAAATTAGAAAAGAAGATGGAACTCTCACTACTACTGTTGACGAAAAAAGACATGAAATATGGAAGGCACTTCTACCTGAAATTGACCATGGTCTTGATAGAGAGTTTGAAATTGATGACGATTCTCGATGGCCAAAATTAGAGTTTGATGAAGTTGACTCTGCATTGGCTGATACCCCAAATGATAAAGCTCCAGGAGACGATGGAATTACTGGCAAAGTTTTAAAGATGGCATGGCTAAATAAAGACTTTAAGGAAAGGTTTTTCAAGCTTCTCCAAGCTTGTGTAAAGTTTGGATACCACCCAAAAGTCTGGAGACATGGCATTATTGTTGTTATACCTAAACCTAAGAAACCTGACTATTCAAAGCCAAGAGCATACCGACCAATTTCCTTACTTAAGATTCCATCTAAAGTACTGGAAAAAATTATACAAAAAAGAATGACCAAGCTTACAACACACTTACTTCCACCAGAGCAATATGGGGGAAGACAAGGTTATTGTGCTACTGATGCTGTTTTGGAACTTATCCAAAGAATTGAAACTATAGTAAAAAAAAATTTCAGCTATGCTCATTGATATTCAAGGAGCTTTTGATAATGTTAACAGAAATATATTGGCAGACACAATGGAGGATATGAAACTACCCAAAGAACTTATAAACTGGACGTACCAATTTGTAAGTGAAAGAGAAGCTAGTATGCTCATGGACCGAAGAAAAGGATCAGTGCAAAAAATTAGTACTGGAATTCCGCAAGGCTCACCTATTTCACCACTACTTTTTTTGATATATTCCACACCAATGTATCATGCCATTAAAGAATGGGGTGGAACTCCTTTTGGCTTTATTGATGATGTGACTATTACCGTTGAAGGTAAAATTGAAGAAAATACCAAAAGCTTAAGCAACATATTAGAAAAATGTTGTAATTGGGCTAAATCAAGAATGACCAAAATTGATTTGGATGATAAATTGGGTTTTATTCATTTTACAAAAAATGTGAAACCTAAAGATGAAAAAGTGCAACTTACTTTACCTAATGGAGAACTTCGTGAACCCCAGAAGGAAGTTAAATTGCTTGGAATTACTTTGAACAATCTGCTTGATTTTAAATCTCATATTTTGAATAAAATCAATAAAGCAAGAAAAGCTGTTGGTGCTATTTGGCATCTTGGTGGCGTGCAAAAAGGTATGCGGGGGTCTGCAGTTAGATCACTGTATATTGCTTGCGTGAGACCGATTGTCGAATATGGCTTAGAAATTTGGCATCATAAAATCTTGAAAGGAGAAATCCACAAGTTGGAAGTGATGCAGAATATGGCTTTAAGAAGAATCGTTGGTGCTTATCGCACGACTCCTATTGCGGTATTACAAAAGGAAGCTGGTATTATGCCATATAGTATTAGGCTAAAATTTATGGTGGCACGAAAAGCTATTCGTTTACACCTAAATATTAGCAAAACTAATCCTATTAATGGTCATTTGTTAACATTGATTGAGAAATCTCCAATTGCAAAGCTAACCACGCTTTACATGTTGGCGAAAGATGATAGAGACTACCTGAATAAAAAAGATGAAAAACGAAAATGCAAGAGGGTTAAACCTCTTACACTGAAACAACAACAAAATCAGACGATTAGAATTTTGAAGAAACAAGCAATGGAATAATGGCAAGAAATGTATTGGAACAGCAGTAAGGATCTGTGGTATCATAATATCACAGTAGAGTCGAAATGTACTGATAATCTTTCCAAAATGGTCACGGGAGTGATCATGAAGAAAGATAGTCGAAGGATCTTGAGTAATATTACTCAGTTTCGCACAGGCCATGGCAACTTTGGCGCATGGTTTAAAAAGTTTGGAATTGAAAAGGATAGTTACAACTGCAAATGTGGAGAGCTGGAAACAGTTCATCACATTTTAGTTGAGTGTCCTTTGCTTGAAGAGGAAAGAAAAGGACTGAAACGGATATCTCCAGAGATGGACATGTCGACTCTCTTAAACAGTTTAACTGGCTTACAAGAGATTGTAAGCTTTATCTCTGCTTGAAGGGATTAAGAAATACAATTACAGCGTTGATGAAGACAAGTGGAGATAGGTTGGGAAGGTTTGGTTATTTTTAACCCCCTGTTCCTCGTAAGCTGGCATCAGGACTTATTTTCGGGCTGTTGGAGATGCAATGTTGAAGGCAAAATTAAAAGTTTATTATCAAAATGAAAAGATATATAGTATGGACAAGAAGGATAGTGCAGATGCTGATGTTATATAATTCTATAACCCTTGAATAAAAACAAACAAACTAACAAACATAATGAATACAGTAGGATTGTATTTTAGGCTATTTACTTTAAATTTTTTAAATATGAATAAAAAAAACATTTTCGATTTAGTTTTTAATACTGAACATTATTTTTTTCCTTGCTATTTTTTCTTTTCAATTTAGCATCTTGAAAACCCTAGATTGGAAATTTTTAATCAAAGATTTTAATATCTAAATATAATTGGATGCCAGAATGTATATTAAATTAAATGCTTATTAAAATGAAAGTTCTTGTTAAAATTCGTGTTTGGTAAACTTCTTGTTAGATAGACAATTTTAATTAATTATTGAAAGTAAAGTAAGCATACACAATTGAATATCTAAAAAAGAAACGCAAATAGATTTCTTTTAGATTTTCATCTCCCTCAATATTAATTGTTGAAAAAAGAAAGAAATATATATAATGCTTTTTTTGTTGAATAGTAAGATACATATGTACATGCATGATTTTTAATGGTTCTCTTTTTTTGTTTTTTATTAGCTGAATACCACCAAAAGCATTTATGAATGTACACAAAAAAATACCAGCCCTTAAGAGAGCAATTTATAAGCCATATATACTTAAAAAAATACTATAAACTACTTGCCGTTAGTGATCAACCACCCAAGATATTCTTAACCCTTAAAAATATTCACCAATGAAATTTTGTTTCCTAAGTTATTAAAGAAAGCTAATCTTGAAAAAAAAATCTAATTTCTTTTTATTTTAATTTGAAAATTTATTATTTTTAGGAACCATATACTTTTAACTGCATTTGACGAAGCACGTTACATTGTGATTTCTTTAGAACCGGGCATAGTGAAATTAAAATGGTAGATATTAGATATTAACTGAGTCGGATTTATAAATAAATAAATAAATAAGCATATTAAATCATTAATTTCATTTAATTTTATATTAAAAATATATAGTATTATACAAAAAATATTTAAAATTTAACTTTTTTCTTTTTATTCAAATTGTTTACGATAATAATTTATAAAAATCAGCATGAAATTGCATTGTTTGTTTGTTTGTTTTTATTAATTCAAGGGTTATAGAATTATATAACATAAGCATCTGCGCTATCCTTCTTGTCCATACTATATATCTTTTCATTTTAATAATAAACTTTTAATTTTGGCTTCATCATTGCATCTCCAACAGCCCAAAAATAAGTCCTGATGCCAGCTTACGAGGAACTAAAAATTGCAAAAATAGACTTATTTAATGTTTTTAAACTTATAATGGATCATTTAGTTAAATATTAACGACAAAAGTATCACGTGGTCGTATGGCGTAATGGTAGCGCATCAGATTGCAGATCTGCAGGTTCCTGGTTCGATTCCGGGTGCGACCTTAGTTTTTGTTTTATTTTGTTTACAATATTGCAATTAATTGCAAAATTGTTTTTTAAAAAAAAAATTTTTACATTGTTTAAACTTTGTAAATACTTTGGAGTAATAATTTCTTAAAAAATATTAAAATTGAATTTGTTTGAATTTTACTTGTTAATTGAAAGAACTCATGGTATCGACACATTGCAAAAATCTATTCCAAGACAAGGTTAGTCGTTAACACACATTATTCAAAGATTATAATAATACTTTAAAAAATAAATGATAGTATGGGCCCATTATTCAGCCAAAACAAAAGAAGTGCACTTTTCAGGTAAATATATGCCAATGATCTTCAAATTATGAATTGACTACCAATTTGAATACGTTTTTGTATATATTAAAATGAACCTTCAAAAAAAAAAAGAAAAAACTGACGCAAATAGCGAGAGAAGGTTGAAATATTTCAGAACAAAGATATGACCAAATTTGCGGGGAAAAAAAAAAGGAAAGAAAAATGTCAAAATAAACCTAGGCCATGATCTTGGTTTGATGATCATCAGAAGATCTTTAGACTTAAACCGTTAAGCTGAATCAAAACACTAACTCATTTTGTTAGTATTTTTTTACCAACCTTCAAAGTAATAAGCAAAACACTCTTTGTTGGATCAATCAAGTCATGTCCTTGGCCAATGACTTCTCATTAGACTGTTTCCTCCTCCCAATATTTGGTTGATATCATTATCTGAATTTATTTTCTTATGTCTTTTTGCAATCTTTTTTAAAGTATATATAAATAAAAAGGCTTTGTTTCAATAACCCATTAGATAATTCCATTTTCTTAAAAGCACAAAAAAAGTTATTATTTGAAGAAACCGATAAAAAATAAATAAACATAGACATCTGTTAATTCAATGATAAAAATGAAAATGTTTTGTTTGTTTGTTTGTTTGTTTGTTTTTATTCAAGGGTTATAGAACTATATAACATCAGCATCTGCGCTATCCTTTTATTGTCTGACTTTGTGACTTGCCGGTTTTCAGTTGTACCTTTTTAGTACGGGTGGTTTCTGTTCTGTGCGTCTCCGGTAGCCCGGGAAATGGGCCCTGATGCCAGCTTACGAGGAACAGGGAGAACCAGTCTGTCGGTCCCAAAACCTTCCCAACCCATTTCCACTTATCTTCACGGACGCCCATGTATTTCTTAATCTCTTCCGTCAGAGATACGGTCCGCAATCACCTGCAGGCTATTTAGACTGTACGGAAGAGTCGGCATTCCTGTAACCAGGGTAGCCTATGGTTTTCAGTCTAGGTGTATACTCCCGTACACATCCTCAGGAAAAGGGGACCAATCGATTGTATGTTACTTTATCCGGTTGATCAATCGCATGTTGGTTTATTATATTCTATAGGCACTATGGCCGAGCGGTTAAGGCGAAAGATTAGAAATCTTTTGGGATTTCCCGCGCAGGTTCGAGTCCTGCTGGTGTCGTTATTTTTTTATAAAATATATTTAGTTAATTTTTTTTGTGATAAAATTTATTTGCTATTGATTATTGCTTCTTGCTTATTTTCATTCAAATTTTTTAAATCTATATAACATCGGCTTCAATGCTATCATTTTGTTGTGATGTTATAGGTATAAATTTTTAGCACAGGTTGCTTCGATATGTGTGCCTTTGGTAGCCCCGAATATAGGGTTCTGAGGTCAATTCAAGAGAAATAGGGAAACCCCGTTTAGTCAGTACTAACTGTACTCAATCGGTTTACACCTTATTTTACAGATGCCTGTGTGTTTTTTTTTTTTTGTGAAGGGGATGACTCCCTAATTACCTATTTGCCAGGGTTGCCGGAGGGTTTAGATAAGGCTTGTGCTTCCGTTCACTCACTCCTTAAAAAGAAAAGTATCTGATATCCAAGGACTGAATCATTTTCAATAACAAAATAATGAATTTTGCAATAAAAAATCATTTTCTTGTTTGTTTGTTTTTATTCAAGAGAAAAATCATTTTCTTATTGTTTGTTTGTTTGTTTTTATTCAAGAAAAATAATTTTCTTTCAATTATACAAAATATATATCTCTTTTCAAAGGCCCTTATGTAGGTATTATTAAACAACATTTTCAAGTGTTGGCAATCTGGCCGAGTTGGTCTAAGGCGTAGGATTAAGGTTCCTATCTCTTCGGAGGCGAGGGTTCGAATCCCTCGGTTGTCATAGTATTTTTATATCACAAGCATTATTCTTTTCTTTTTTATGGATTATGAAAATTTCTAAAAAAGTTGAGGTTTCGTTGGGTTGAAATAAAAATGGTGTGGAAGAAGTTGGACAGATTGAAAGACAGTAACACTGTTGAAAATACGTGGGAGGGAAATGGGAAATGCCCGTAACAAAATGGCCGATTTCTTATAAATCTGCCAGAAAATTTGATTTTTATCTCCTCTTCGTCCTAATTCGATCATAAAAAATTACCATCTTGGGAATTCTTTGATAATCATCCACACAAACATTACTAAGATTGATTTAATTCTTACTAAAATCCAACACAATCCTGACTAATTTGTCACGTGAAGCCTTTCCATTTTCCCACCCATTTATTTTCAAGTGTGTAAAAAACTTTATTTTTTTTTTCTTTTTTTTTCTGCGGAAAAGCAAGAATTTTTAGTCTGGGCATGTGGTCTACCAAACGTCTAACCCTAACCTTAATCACGGACTGCGCCACCTGCCTTGGAATCACTTTGGACAATCCCGTGAATAAATCATGAGGTCAGAATTCCAGACCTTAAAGTCACGTAATATTATAATATATATATATATATAGAACCCAATTATCTTTCGCCTCATAGTTCCAATTTTCATGTATTATTCTAAGCTCTTCATGAAGAGATTTTACTTGATCAAATATTCATTTCGCGCTTGGAGACCTAATTTTATGAATGTATTCTATCATATGCATGGTATTGGAGTATAAAAAATATGAGAGTAAAATAAGAAGTATATGTTTTATTTTCTTTTACACTACCACAAAAGGCAAAGCGGATAGAGCTCATACCAGTATGACACCAATAATCTTCCTTATAGACACAAAAGTTGAGCACTTTTTACCTCAGCTAAATAAAATATGCTCAAACATTACAAAAACAACACAACCAGATACATATAAATTATTTTAAAATAAAATGAGGATATAAATATTTTTATCTTCATCATTTTTGTTTAAAAAAAAAAACTTGAATGCAAAAGTTGAGTAAATATTTTAAAAAAAGCAAAAAACTAGGTCCTGCCCGGATTCGAACCGGGGTTATTGGAATCAGAATCCAAGGTGATAACCAACTACACTACAGAACCTTAGTCGTTATATGTAAAGATTTATAGCAATACTACAAAGAACCAATATTAAAAATCTGTAATTACTAAAAAATTGGGTTTAATTTAAGGGGAAAGGGCTGGATGGTGTAAAAGATAATACGTTCGCTCGAAAGCGGAAGATACTGGGTTCGATTCCCTGAATACCCCCTTTTCCTGAAGATGTGTACGGGAGTATACACCTAGACTGAAAACCATAGGCTACCCTGGTTACAGGAATGCCGACTCTTCCGTACAGTCTAAATAGCCTGCAGGTGATTGCGGACCGTATCTCTGACGGAAGAGATTAAGAAATACATGGGCGTCCGTGAAGATAAGTGGAAATGGGTTGGGAAGGTTTTGGGACCGACAGACTGGTTCTCCCTGTTCCTCGTAAGCTGGCATCAGGGCCCATTTCCCGGGCTACCGGAGACGCACAGAACAGAAACCACCCGTATTAAAAAGGTACAACTGAAAACCGGCAAGTCACAAAGTCAGACAATAAAAGGATAGCGCAGATGCTGAAGTTATATAGTTCCATAACCCTTGAATAAAAACAAACAAACAAACAATAAACCTTATTTCAGCTTAATAATTAAAATATGTTATTTTAATTAATAGATATTTTATTCTTAAATGAAAGTGGCTTTGTTTCGTAATATTTAATTTTACTTTTATCAGTTATTTACCAAGGATTAGATAGTAATCTACAGGAACAAACAGCTGAGTACTAAAAGAATTCTTTAAAAAGGAGGGGTGTTTTTTTATTATTTTTAATATATACAACAGTTCAAAATTTTTTAAAATAGTTTGAATAACACAATTTTTTTTTTACAGTTTTGATAATTTAAAGTAAAAATAAAATAAAACAATAGTTTTGTTTGAAGTTTACAATAAATGCATGAAATTCGTGGGACCAAAGTTTAATTTATATTGACTTTTTTGTAAGTTACCTGAATTAAACAAAGTATAACTGTAATGCTTTGCTTTCCTTTTCATTTTTTAATTACCAAACTTTTCTCAAAATTTTTTTGATTCAAATATCTGAAAAGAAAAGGAAAAATATAAACTTTTAAAAAGCTAAAGCCCTACGGGGGGCTCGAACCCCCAACCTTGAGATAAACTTTATTTAAGAGTCTCACGCTCTACCGATTGAGCTAGCAAGGCTTTCTTAGGAAAGTAATTTCTATAAAATATAACTAAGACACAAAAAGGAAATATTTATAGTTTTTAAATAGTTAGGGAAGGAAATCTTCCACCAGAGCAATATGGGGGAAGACAAGGTTATTGTGCTACTGATGCTGTTTTGGAACTTGTCCAAAGAATTGTAACTAGTAAGGAAAAAATTTCAGCTATGCTCATTGATATTCAAGGAGCTTTTGATAATGTTAACAGAAATATATTGGCACACACAATGGAGGATATGAAACTACCCAAAGCACTTATAAACTGGACGTACCAATTTGTAAGTGAAAGAGAAGCTAGTATGCTCATGGACCGAAGAAAAGGATCAGTACAAAAAATTAGTACTGGAATTCCGCAAGGCTCACCTATTTCACCACTACTTTTTTTGATATATTCCACACCAATGTATCATGCCATTAAAGAATGGGGTGGAACTCCTTTTGGCTTTATTGATGATGTGACTATTACCGTTGAAGGTAAAATTGAAGAAAATACCAAAAGCTTAAGCAACATATTAGAAAAATGTTGTAATTGGGCTAAATCAAGAATGACCAAAATTGATTTGGGTGACAAATTGGGTTTTATTCATTTTACAAAAAATGTGAAACCTAAAGATGAGAAAGTGCAACTTACTTTACCTAATGGAGAACTTCGTGAACCCCAGAAGGAAGTTAAATTGCTTGGAATTACTTTGAACAATCTGCTTGATTTTAAATCTCATATTTTGAATAAAATCAATAAAGCAAGAAAAAGCTGTTGGTGCTATTTGGCATCTTGGTGGCGTGCAAAAGGTATGCGAGGGTCTGCAGTCAGATCACTGTATATTGCTTGCGTGAGACCAATTGTCGAATATGGCTTAGAAATTTGGCATCACAAAATTTTGAAAGGAGAAATCCACAAGTTGGAAGTAATGCAGAATATGGCTTTAAGAAGAATTGTTGGTGCTTATCGCACAACTCCTATTGCGGTACTACAAAAGGAAGCTGGTATTATGCCATATAGTATTAGGCTAAAATTTATGGTGGCACGAAAAGCTATTCGTTTACACCTAAATATTAGCAAAACTAATCCTATTAATGGTCATTTGTTAACATTGATTGAGAAATCTCCAATTGCAAAGCTAACCACGCTTTACATGTTGGCGAAAGATGATAGAGACTATATGATTAAAATAGATGAAAAACGAAAATGCAAGAGGGTTGAACCTCTTACACTGAAACAACAACAAAATCAGACGATTGGAATTTTGAAAAAACAAGCAATGGAAGAATGGCAAGAAATGTATTGGAACAGCAGTAAGGATCTGTGGTATCATAATATCACAGTGGAGTCGAAATGTACTGATAATCTTTCCAAAATGGTTACGGGAGTGATCATGAAGAAAGATAGTCGAAGGATCTTGAGTAATATTACTCAATTTCGCACAGGCCATGGCAACTTTGGCGCATGGTTTAAAAAAGTTTGGAATTGAAAAGGATAGTTACAACTGCAAATGTGGAGAGCTGGAAACAGTTCATCACATTTTAGTTGAGTGTCCTTTGCTTGAAGAGGAAAGAAAAGGACTGAAACGGATATCTCCAGAGATGGACATGTCGACTCTCTTAAACAGTTTAACTGGCTTACAAGAGATTGTAAGCTTTATCTCTGCTTGGAGGGATTAAGAAATACAATTACAGCGTTGATGAAGACAAGTGGAGATAGGTTGGGAAGGTTTGGTTATTTTAACCCCCTGTTCCTCGTAAGCTGGCATCAGGACTTATTTTCGGGCTGTTGGAGATGCAATGTTGAAGCCAAAATTAAAAGTTTATTATCAAAATGAAAAAATATATAGTATGGACAAGAAGGATAGCGCAGATGCTGATGTTATATAATTCTATAACCCTTGAATAAAAACAAACAAACAAACAATTAGGGAAGGAAATGGGGGGAAAGGGCTGGATGGTGTAAAGGGTAACACATTCGCTCGAAAGCGGAAGATACTGGGTTCGATTCCCAGAATACCCCCTTTTCCTGAGGATGTGTACGGGAGTATACACCTAGACTGAAAAACCATAGGCTACCCTGGTTACAGGAATGCCGACTCTTCCGTACAGTCTAAATAGCCTGCAGGTGATTGCGGGCCGTATCTCTGACGGAAGAGATTAAGAAATACATGGGCGTCCGTGAAGATAAGTGGAAATGGGTTGGGAAGGTTTTGGGACCGACAGACTGGTTCTCCCTGTTCCTCGTAAGCTGGCATCAGGGCCCATCTTCCGGGCTACCGGAGACGCACAGAACAGAAACCACCAGTACTAAAAAGGTACAAATGAAAACCGGCAAGTCACATAGTCAGACAATAAAAGGATAGCGCAGATGCTGATGTTATATAGTTCTATAACCCTTGAATAAAAACAAACAAACAAACATAGGGAAGGAAATGGGGGAAAGGGCTGGATGGTGTAAAGGGTAACACGTTCGCTCGATAGCGGAAGATACTGGGTTCGATTCCCAGAATACCCCCTTTTCCTGAGGATGTGTACGGGAGTATACACCTAGACTGAAAACCATAGGCTACCCTGGTTACAGGAATGCCGACTCTTCCGTACAGTCTAAATAGCCTGCAGGTGATTGCGGGCCGTATCTCTGACGGAAGAGATTAAGAAATACATGGGCGTCCGTGAAGATAAGTGGAAATGGGTTGGGAGGGTTTTGGGACCGACAGACTGGTTCTCCCTGTTCCTCGTAAGCTGGCATCAGGGCCCATCTTCCGGGCTACCGGAGACGCACAGAACAGAAACCACCCGTACTAAAAAGGTACAAATGAAAACCGGCAAGTCACATAGTTAGACAATAAAAAGGATAGCGCAGATGCTGATGTTATATAGTTCTATAACCCTTGAATAAAAACAAACAAACAAACAATAGGGAAGGAAATGGGGGAAAGGGCTGGATGGTGTAAAGGGTAACACGTTCGCTCGAAAGCGAAAGATACTGGGTTCGATTCCCAGAATACCCCCTTTTCCTGAGGATGTGTACGGGAGTATACACCTAGACTGAAAACCATAGGCTACCCTGGTTACAGGAATGCCGACTCTTCCGTACAGTCTAAATAGCCTGCAGGTGATTGCGGGCCGTATCTCTGACAGAAGAGATTAAGAAATACATGGGCGTCCGTGAAGATAAGTGGAAATGGGTTGGGAAGGTTTTGGGACCGACAGACTGGTTCTCCCTGTTCCTCGTAAGCTGGCATCAGGGCCCATCTTCCGGGCTACTGGAGACGCACAGAACAGAAACCACCCGTACTAAAAAGGTACAAATGAAAACCGGCAAGTCACATAGTCAGACAATAAAAGGATAGCGCAGATGCTGAAGTTATATAGTTCCATAACCCTTGAATAAAAACAAACAAACAAACAATAGGGAAGGAAATAGAAGCTAAAAGGGAAGCCCGTCAAAGACAACCTTCTTTGGCTTTGAAACGACAAAAAATTGAAGAGGCGAAAAAAGCTAGAAAAATTTTTGACCACAGTTTGCGTGAAGCAAGTACTGAGCAATGGAATAAATATTTGTCTAGTTTAGAAGGAAATGACATTTGGAAGATTTTGAAGTATATTAATCCAAAAAGCAATGATACCATTATACCACAAATTAGAAAAGAAGATGGAACTCTCACTACTACTGTTGACGAAAAAAGACATGAAATATGGAAGGCACTTCTACCTGAAATTGATCATGGTCTTGATAGAGAGTTTGAAATTGACGACGATTCTCGATGGCCAAAATTAGAGTTTGATGAAGTTGACTCTGCATTGGCTGATACCCCAAATGATAAAGCTCCAGGAGACGATGGAATTACTGGCAAAGTTTTAAAGATGGCATGGCTGAATAAAGACTTTAAGGAAAGGTTTTTCAAGCTTCTCCAAGCTTGTGTGAAGTTTGGATACCACCCAAAAGTCTGGAGACATGGCATTATTGTTGTTATACCTAAACCTAAGAAACCTGACTATTCAAAGCCAAGAGCATACCGACCAATTTCCTTACTTAAGATTCCATCTAAAGTACTGGAAAAATTATACAAAAAGAATGACCAAGCTTACAACACACTTACTTCCACCAGAGCAATATGGGGAAGACAAGGTTATTGTGCTACTGATGCTGTTTTGGAACTTGTCCAAAGAATTGAAACTAGTAAAGAAAAAAAACTTTCAGCTATGCTCATTGATATTCAAGGAGCTTTTGATAATGTCAACAGAAATTTATTGGCAGACACAATGGAGGATATGAAACTACCCAAAGCACTTATAAACTGGACATACCAATTTGTAAGTGAAAGAGAAGCTAGTATGCTCATGGACCGAAGAAAAGGATCAGTGCAAAAATTAGTACTGGAATTCCGCAAGGCTCACCTATTTCACCACTACTTTTTTGATATATTCCACACCAATGTATCATGCCATTAAAGAATGGGGTGGAACTCCTTTGGCTTTATTGATGATGTGACTATTACCGTTGAAGGTAAAATTGAAGAAAATACCAAAGCTTAAGCAACATATTAGAAAAATGTTGTAATTGGGCTAAATCAAGAATGACCAAAATTGATTTGGGTGATAAATTGGGTTTTATTCATTTTACAAAAAATGTGAAACCTAAAGATGAAAAAAGTGCAACTTACTTTTACCTAATGGAGAACTTCGTGAACCCCAGAAGGAAGTTAAATTGCTTGGAATTACTTTGAACAATCTGCTTGATTTTAAATCACATATTTTGAATAAAATCAATAAAGCAAGAAAAGCTGTTGGTGCTATTTGGCATCTTGGTGGCGTGCAAAAAGGTATGCGAGGGTCTGCAGTCAGATCACTGTATATTGCTTGCGTGAGACCAATTGTTGAATATGGCTTAGAAATTTGGCATCATAAAATCTTGAAAGGAGAAATCCACAAGTTGGAAGTGATGCAGAACATGGCTTTAAGAAGAATTGTTGGTGCTTATCGCACAACTCCTATTGCGGTACTACAAAAGGAAGCTGGTATTATGCCATATAGTATTAGGCTAAAATTTATGGTGGCACGAAAAGCTATTCGTTTACACCTAAATATTAGCAAAACTAATCCTATTAATGGTCATTTGTTAACATTGATTGAGAAATCTCCAATTGCAAAGCTAACCACGCTTTACATGTTGGCGAAAGATGATAGAGACTATATGATTAAAAAGGATGAAAAACGAAAATGCAAGAGGGTTGAACCTCTTACACTGAAACAACAACAAAATCAGACGATTGGAATTTTGAAGAAACAAGCAATGGAATAATGGCAAGAAATGTATTGGAACAGCAGTAAGGATCTGTGGTATCATAATATCACAGTGGAATCGAAATGTACTGATAATCTTTCCAAAATGGTTACGGGAGTGATCATGAAGAAAGATAGTCGAAGGATCTTGAGTAATATTACTCAATTTCGCACAGGCCATGGAAACTTTGGCGCATGGTTTAAAAAGTTTGGAATTGAAAAGGATAGTTACAACTGCAAATGTGGAGAGCTGGAAACAGTTCATCACATTTTAGTTGAGTGTCCTTTGCTTGAAGAGGAAAGAAAAGGACTGAAACGGATATCTCCAGAGATGGACATGTCGACTCTCTTAAACAGTTTAACTGGCTTACAAGAGATTGTAAGCTTTATCTCTGCTTGGAGGGATTAAGAAATACAATTACAGCGTTGATGAAGACAAGTGGAGATAGGTTGGGAAGGTTTGGTTATTTTTAACCCCCTGTTCCTCGTAAGCTGGCATCAGGACTTATTTTCGGGCTGTTGGAGATGCAATGTTGAAGGCAAAATTAAAAGTTTATTATTAAAATGAAAAAATATATAGTATGGACAAGAAGGATAGCGCAGACGCTGATGTTATATAATTCTATAACCCTTGAATAAAAACAAACAAACAAACATAGGGAAGGAATATTTTAGTTGAGTGTCCTTTGCTTTAAGAGGAAAGAAAAGGACTAAAACGGATATCTCCAGAGATGGACATGTCGACTCTCTTAAACAGTTTAACTGGCTTACAAGAGATTGTAAGCTTTATCTCTGCTTGGAGGGATTAAGAAATACAATTACAGCGTTGATGAAGACAAGTGGAGATAGGTTGGGAAGGTTTGGTTATTTTTAACCCCCTGTTCCTCGTAAGCTGGCATCAGGACTTATTTTCGGGCTGTTGGAGATGCAATGTTGAAGTTAAAATTAAAAGTTTATTATTAAAATGAAAAGATATATAGTATGGACAGGAAGGATAGCGCAGATGCTGAAGTTATATAGTTCTATAACCCTTGAATAAAAACAAACAAACAAACAAATAGGGAAGGAATAGAAATGGTCGCATCTGCTTGGAGGGATTAAGAAATACAATTACAGCGTTGATGAAGACAAGTGGAGATAGGTTGGGAAGGTTTGGTTATTTTTAACCCCCTGTTCCTCGTAAGCTGGCATCAGGACTTATTTTCGGGCTGTTGGAGATGCAATGTTGAAGTTAAAATTAAAAGTTTATTATTAAAATGAAAAGATATATAGTATGGACAGGAAGGATAGCGCAGATGCTGATGTTATATAATTCTATAACCCTTAAATAAATAAATAAAAACAAACAAACAAACAAATAAAGAAATGGTCACAGGAGTGATCATGAAGAAAGATAGATAGTCGAAGGATCTTGAGTAATATTACTCAGTTTTGCACAGGCCATGGTAACTTTGGCGCATGGTTTAAAAAGTTTGGAATTGAAAAGGATAGTTACAACTGCAAATGTGGAGAGCTGGAAACAGTTCATCACATTTTAGTTGAGTGTCCTTTGCCCGAAGAGGAAAGAAAAGGACTGAAACGGATATCTCCAGAGATGGACATCTCAACTCTTTCAAACATTTTAATTGTTTGGCTTAAAAATTTATTATGAGAACATAAATATATATATAGGAGGAACTAAAAGGATAACGCAGATACTGATGATATATATATATATATTACGAGTTAGTGAAATATAAATAATTTTTGTTAGAAAAGAGGTTTAGTTTAGATTTGATAATGTCTAAGCTTTTTTTTTTTTTGAACATGGGTAGTAAGTAATCCCTTTTCTAACTAAGCCTTACAACAGTACCGTTGTGGATTTATTCCTTAGAGACTAGATCATTCAAAAAATCATATAAAAAATCATACAAAAGTAATACAAAGGATAAGGAGATGATAAAGATGGTTTATAGAATTAACTAGGGAATTCTAGAGACTGATGATTACACTATTGCCTAATTCTTAGATATATCTAATGTATTGAAAAAAAAGTTTAAATAAATAAATAAATGACTAAAGAATGAACCAATTGACAAATAAACTACCTTTTAATTTTTTTTTTTTCCAGACCCTTAAACGCTTTTTCTTTTTTTCATTCGTTACACACCAATTTTTTTTTTTTCAAAGCTTTTTTTTTTATATAAAAATTCTACCAAAAAACATTTTTTAAATACAAGAAATGTATTTTTTAAAAGATCTAACTTACCCTTTTTATAAAAAAGAAAAAAAGAATTATTTATATATATAAAATTAAATACAAAAAAGTAACTCTCGGCAACGGGGAATTGAACCCCGGTCCCCCGCGTGCTGCTTTAGAAGCTGACAGGCGGAAATTCTAGCCACTAAACTATTGCCGAATTGTTATTGTTAAAAATTTGAAGAATCTGAGAACCAGATTCCGCCATGCTTAGGAATACCTCATTTTCAATTATTTTGTGCTGAGCTACATTTACGTGTTATTTTGTTTTATCATCTGTGTTTTTTTTTTTTCAAAAACCCTTTATATCCAAAAATAACCTTCAAAATACTCGGTAGGCTCGGGTCTGCGTTTGGTGACAAAAACGCGGTTGCAAAGAGGACAGGTAGGCTTGATGTGGCAGAGCCATCTGCGGATACACTCGTCGTGGAAAGCATGACCACAGTGCAACACTCTGAGAGGGGTTGATGAGTCTAATGAAGGGGTATTGTTAGTGTTGTTAGTGTTGTTTTGTTGGTTTTCTTCACCATCTTCATCATCGTGTTCGTGGCCAAATTGGATTTGGCAGATGGGACACATGAGAGAGGTAGATGTATAAGATTGTTGATGATTAGAAGACAGAAAAGCAGGGGCTTTGGAGCCAGAAGAGGAGAATTTAGGGAAATGGAGGTGGTGGGATAGATTTAATCTTGAGGAGGAGGAAGAGGAAGAAGAAGAAGATTGGGTAGTTTTATTTGTTTTGGTATTATTATTAGTAGTGCTAGTCGTAGTGTTAATGTTAATATTAGTAGTGGCGTGAGGAGGTTCAGCTAGGTCTTTAGTGTTAATATCATCACCATTAGATATTGAAGAATCAAAGTTTGTAGAATTATTATTACTATTATTATCAGTTATTATTGATTTTTTTTCATCATTTTCATCACTTGGTTCTTTTTCTACAGATTTGACAGTTGTAAGAAATTCGGCAACTGTAGTGACAGGGAAGAGTTTTTCCAGTTCCTTTTCAGACAGACAATTATCTGGGTCTCTTTGGTTTCTCTGGAGGGTTGTTCTTCTTGGTAAAGGTGGATGAGGTGTAGCAGAATTTGGTGCGAATTCATTTATTAGAGCGGAGACAGCGACCATGGAGGGATTGACTTGTTGTGTTTCTTGGTCGAGAGTATCTGTAGGTGGGGCCAATGGAGGATCATAGCCAAGAGCTGAGCGGATGAGGAGGATGATTGCGGAGACGAAGAAAAAGATCATAAAGATTGGGAGGAAGATTGCAAAGGAAAAGAGGAGGATGATTTGGTGTGGTATGGATGATGTAGGGGCGCAAAAGAGACGGTAGATGAATGATCCTACTAACCAGTTCCCAGTGGACTCTCGTTGTTGTTGGTCGAGCTGGTTACGACGAGTTTGATGTGAGTGGTTGTTGTCTTCTGGGCCATTTTCAAGATCTGGTTGGGGTGTGAGAATTGGAGGGGTATTTTGGTGGGCATTCATTATGAAGATATATTATTATTATTTTTTTTTTTGAGATAAGGAAGATGAGAGAAGATTTGGTTAGATTAGATGACGATATATATATATATATATATTTGAAAATGAAAATGAAAATGAATAAATAAAAATAAAAATAAAAATAAAAATAAAAATTAAAAAAAAAAAAATAAGAAAGAGATTAGCAATTTTTTATTTTTTTTTTTTCTTCTTTCTATAGTATAATGTTTAATTTTTTTTTTTTTTGGAAACATTTGGAAGGTGAGAATGATTTATATATATGTCTGTAGATTATTTATATAAATATATATGAGGGATATTTTTTTTAAAAAAAAACCTTTCTTAAAGCTTTTTATTTTTTTTATTTCAAAAAAAAAAAAAAAAAATTCCATTAGAAAGACCCGACAAGTCGCTCATTTTAATTTTCGGAGACTTTTTGGGCTTTTGAGCTTTTGAGCTTTTGGACTTTTGGGCTTTTGAGCTTTTGATTGATTGAATGAAAAAAAAAAAAAAAAAAACTCAAAAAAAGGAAATTCCGGATGGAACAAAAAAAAAAAAAAAAAAAAAAAGGCCTAGAACTAGCCTGATATATACTTAACAGACCTTGATATACACATTTATTTAATCAGCCGATGATGATGATGATAAAAAATAATAAAAAAATTCTTAAATTAAGATTTTTGAAAAATTTCCTTTTTGCCTTTTTTCCATTTTTTTCATTTTCATTTTCATTTCCATTTCTAGTTGGACATGAAAGAACTTCTTCTTCACCATCCACTGGAAAAATCAGACCTATTTTTTTTTTTTTTTTATATTAATGACAATTCTTAATTCAAATTAAATCGCCACTGAAGAATAAAAATAAATAAATAAATAAATGGAATTTTTATTCAAGTCATTTCTACCAAAAAAAAAAAAAAATCTCTTTATACTTAGTAGATTTATTTAAGTAACTTAACCATCACTATTATTATTAATAATAATAATAAAGTCGCGGTTACACAAAGGACATCGCCCACGAGTGCCACACATCCATTTTAATATACACTCTGAATGGAAAACATGACCACACACTAATTGTCGCACAATTAATGAATTTTCAAATAATGACACTATTTTTGTTGTTTTTTGTTTCTCATCATCATTTTTAGAAGATAAATCCTTATTACTAGTGGTGATAGTAGTAGTTGTAGTAGAAGTAGAATTGGCATCACAATTTTGACAATTTTGACAATCTTCATAGCCGAACTGAAACTGGCAAATCGCACATACAGTTGATGGATAACATGTAGAATTACGTTTACTGGAAGGCATAGATTGATATTCTTTAACTAGATTACTGTAGAGCACTAGAGGAGCCATTCTTTCGAGTTGCTCAAATGTAAGGCATACGGATGGACCATTATTATTATTAAGTTGCAAATAATATTGGTTTCCATCAACCCCCCATATTGAATCAGGATCAAGTATTGTTCTTGGTTGGTTTGATACTATATTATCATTAGTATCGTTATTACCATCATTATCATTATTTTCTTCTTGGTTGTCTTGTTCTTTATGAACCCACCGACGATATCCTGTTTCGACAAGTGCGCCGCACGTTATGGGGAAACACAAGATGCCTGCAATTGTTGCAAACACATAGAGACTAATTTTTTCCATATCTTGGCCGTCATCTTGAGATTGAGTTTCTGTGGTTAAAGAACTTGCCATTCTTGATTGTGAATGGGATGACTGGTGATGTCTTTGTGGTGTATTAAATGGTGTAGTAGTAGATGTAGTATTGGATACAGTTGTGCTAGTTGAGTTAATTGTTGTATGTGACATTTTATTTTATTTTATGTTATTTTTAGATATAAATATAGAAATATATATAGAGAAGAATTAGAAGAAGAAGGTAGATAAATAAAAAAAAAAAGGAAAAAAAAAATGAAGAATTAAAGAAGAACATGTTTAATTAATTCATGATTGAGTAGATTTTAGTTGAGAGATTCAAAAAGAGTATATATTATAGTATATAGTATAGAAAGACAATTTTTTTAATATTAGAAGAAAGAAAGAAAGAAAGAAAAACAGCTCAATTTTTTTTTTTTTTTAATATTCATTTTTTTTACTATAATTATATATATATATATATAATTTGATAAATACCAAGATATTTATTTATTTCAATAAAAATTTCAATAAAAATAACTTCAGGGTCCATCAAGAGAGTTGAAAAAAAAAGAAAAAAAAAAAGAAAAAAAAAAAGAATACACAAAGAGAATTGCAATTTTTTTTTCTTCTATTATAAATGATTTTTTCAATTTTTTTTTCTTCTGCCATTTCAAATTTGTTGATGAAATTTTCATTTGTTTTTTCATTATTATTATAATAATAATAAAAACTGGAATTTGAAATTGAAATTGAAATTGAAATTGAATTGGAAATACCCCAGATATGACCCGAGTAATAATAAATGACTAATACTCATTCATAAACATTATATAATCGGTACTACCCGAATAATGTATAAGCAGCACGTAATTTTAACCCTAACCCCTTTAACATTATTATATTATAATAATATAATTCTATATTACATTTCCGTAGAAAAATAATATAATAATTATTAAGTACCCTTGCACCGAAACCATCATTTTCTAATTCCTTACATAAGCCCCACTTTTATTTTATTTTTAAAAAAAAATTGATTATCGCCATCCTTCCCAACCATCTCAAAGCAATAACATTAATAACATCACCAACGACATCAACATCATCATCATCATCATCATCATCATCATCATCATCATCATCTTACAATAAATATATAAATATAAAATTTATATTGCCACCTTTATAAAAATTAATATTTTTTTTTATTTTTTTTTCACCCTTATTGTTATTCTCAAAATCAAACTTATTCTCTGCATATAAAACATAATCCTCTTCAATTTTAAATGGTAACTAAATACATTCTTGATAAAACTTACCTTCCATATCTATATATCTATTTATCAATCCAATTGACTAACCATCTTTAGCTTCATATCCTCTCTCTCAAAAAAAAACAACAAGCAGAAGCAGCAGAAGCAGCAGCAGCAGCAGCAGCTGGTGCTGGTCAGACCGTTTCAGACCCAAACTCTCCAGCTCCAACCCCAGGCTCTGCTACTCCAGCAGGAACATCATCCTCTGTTAACGGTACAGGCATTGGGTCATTGACCTCATTAAACCCATCGACCTCATCTCTTCAATCACACCGTAGTGATCTGAGTTCTATATCTTCTAGTAGAGCTGGTGGATCCAATTATGCTCTTTTAAGACTACAAAAGGATATTAGTGAACTAGACCTACCGTCTACCATGCGCATATATTTCCCCGAGGGAGAGCGCGACCTTATGCACTTTGATGTGTACATTTCTCCCGATGAAGGCTTATACAAAGGTGGCACATTTAAGTTTTCCTTTGCAGTTACGCCAAATTTCCCCCATGAGCCTCCCAAAGTTCTTTGTACCCAACGCATTTATCACCCAAACATTGATCTTCAAGGCCACGTCTGTCTCAATATTTTACGTCAGGATTGGAAACCTGTTCTTAGTATAGATTCAATTTTGGTTGGTCTTCAGTTTTTGTTTCTCGAACCAAATCCTACCGATCCTCTCAATAAGGAAGCAGCTACTCAGTTTGTTAAGAACAGAGATGTTTTCAAGTCTATTGTTCGTAATACAATGTGTGGAGGTTCTCATGATGGTTACAGCTTTGATACTGTTTTGACTGACAGAGTTGGTCTGCCGTCGTCTTCAAATGTTTCTGCGGTTGGATCTTACAAATGATTTAGTAGTAAATAAAAATAATAAAAAAATGATAAAAAATAATAAAAAATAGAAATTCTAAAATAGAAATAAAAAGAAGGGAAAAGAAAATTAATTTTTTTTTTTTGGCTGCCATTTAGTAAAAAAAAAAAAAAAAAAAAAAAAAAAAAAAAAAAAAAAAAAAAAATTAAAAAAATTAAAATTTTTTTTTTTTACAATTTTAATAAATTTATAAAAATTCAATTTTCAAATTATTTTTTTGGGAAAAAACATTGGCATTCACTTCATGGAATATTATAAACAAGAAAACCCAAAAAAAAAGATATATAAAATTTTTTTTTTGGCGACTGGGTTAAAATTTTTTACAAAGTCATAAAAGAGTTAGTTGGGGGTCATTAAAATTTTTTTTTTTTTTTCAGAATAGACAAAAAGAAGAATTCAAAACTTAGTTGTTCTCAGGTCTAAGCTTGCGAACCTCCTTTCCGACTCTCCAGATCTCAAGCTCTCTAATCTCCTGGAGCTCCTTCTCAAACTTGTCACGGTAATCGGGCTGGGAGTTAAACTCAAGAGAACGCTTGGTCTCAGAGCCATCAACAACACGGTCGTAAAGCTCATTAAAGACAGGCTTAAGAGCATCCTTAAACTTGGGAGACCAGTCAAGAGCACCACGGCGGGCAGTGGTGGAGCAAGCATCGTACATGTAGTCCATACCGTACTTGCCAATGAGGGGGTAAAGAGACTGGGTAGCCTCCTCAACAGTCTCATTGAAAGCCTCAGAGGGAGAGTGGCCACGCTCACGGAGAACCTCGTACTGAGCAAGGAACATACCGTGGATACCACCCATAAGGCAGCCACGCTCACCGTAAAGATCAGATCTAACCTCCTTCTCAAAAGTGGTCTTGTAAATGTAACCAGAGCCAACGGCAACAGCAAGGGCAATAGCCTTCTCCTCAGCCTTGCCAGTAACATCCTGCCAAACAGCATAAGAAGAGTTGATACCACGGCCCTCCTTGAAAAGAGATCTGACAGTTCGGCCAGAGCCCTTAGGAGCAACAAGAATGACATCAATGTCCTTGGGGGTCTCAACCTTGGTCAGATCCTTGAAAACAGGAGAGAAACCGTGGGAAAAGTAAAGGGTCTTACCCTTGGTAAGCAAGGGCTTAATGTGAGGCCAAGTCTCAGACTGGGCAGCATCAGAGAGAAGGTTCATGACAATGGTACCCTTTTGAATGGCAGTATCAACATCGAAAAGGTTCTTGCCAGGGACCCAGCCGTCCTCAATGGCGGCCTTCCAAGAAGCACCATCCTTACGGACACCAATAATAACATTGATGCCATTGTCACGGAGGTTAAGACCTTGGCCGTAACCTTGGGAACCGTAGCCAATGAGGGCAAGAGTATCATTCTTGAAGTAATCAAGGAGCTTCTCACGGGGCCAGTCACCACGCTCGTGGACAACCTCCTCAGTGCCGCCAAAGTTGATGGACTTAAGGCCACGCTGCTGGACAATAGGTCTGATGGGGGCAGCAGTAGAGGCAGCGACAGCAGGTCTAGTAGCGGCAACGGCAAGAGCGGTGAAAGCTCTCTTGGAAGCAGCAGATCTGATGACGGATCTAGCGGCAGCGGTGGATCTAAGGATTCTGATGGATTGTCTGGCAGACATTTTTTTCTTTGAAGAAGAATATATATATATATGTTTATATATAAAAAAGAGG